TTTTTAAAAAGAATAAAATAATTATAGTAGATTAAAAAATTAATCAAAAAAACCACGTTTTTCAAGTAAGACTAAAAAGCACAAAAAAATTTAGTAGATTAAAAAATTAATCTAAAAAAACCACGTTTTCAAAAAGCAAAAAATAACCTTAAATGTGGTGCACATGGAGATTGTTGGGAAGAAGTGAAATACAAATGAATAGATGCACACCACGTTTAAGGTTATTTTTTGCTTTTTGAAAACGTGGTTTTATAGATTAATTTTTTACTCTACTAAATTTTTTTTTATACCAATTTTATCCTGAAATTTCGCAGCAGCTATATCTTCCACAGAAGTTGATGACTCAGAGCAGCCTCTGCATGACCGAAAAACCCCTAATGAAACATACCCAAATATTTTCATCACCAGTCATTTTTTTATAAACCGTATTAAATCGAGTACCACGCGCCCTCAAGTAAGATGCGCAAAAGGGTGTTTTTAGTTAAATAAAATTCGATTCTCCAGTACGACGCACACCTCATTTTAGCGACTCCGCAACCATAATAATATTTAGAAAATAAGGTCACCAAAATTTGAATTTAGACATGAACTAAATACGAATTGGACAATTTTTCTATTGTTTCCATTGAAATACAGTATGTTTTTCTGTTGAACTTGGTACAAAATGTCCCATTCGAATCGAGTGTGTATAATGCATAACTACATTTCTGAAACTTTCTTTTGTCTTCCTTCTCATTATCAGGATGCTCATTAGTATCACAAATACATTTTTACGCTTGCATCAGTCTGAACTTTTCATGTACAGGAAATGATGACACTTCGAGACGGAACAATTTTTCCGTGAACACAAGATCACAATTGAATTTCCTGAAAAAGTTTGTAATCCCCCGACTGCATAACAGTTCGAGAATGTAAATGTTTATAAAGGGCATCGTCAGTCTTCCAAGGTTTTCATGAAAAGAAATTATCTTCGTGAAGTCACATCGCATGAATGCTTCCGCGTATCCCAGAAGAAGGAACAAGCTAAAGAAAAACATGCTCCTTAAAAATGGTCTCTCTTAACGAGTTAGAGTACAGTACTTCGAAGTCTTTTCCATGCATACAAAATTAGTTCAGAATTATGTCGTACGAGAAAATTACTTGTCAAGCTATATCAAGATTAACTCCCCTTAGTTTCCACAGCCTCGAGCGAATCTCTTTATTCTACGCGGCGTAGATCTAAATCCTGTTAACACAGGAAAAAATAACGGGGAAAAACACGTGCTCTCAGGTCTTCCTATGTTTTCGGATGTTGTAAGATAAAATTCAGTTACGGTTTCAAACGAAGCATAGAAAATTATAAAACGTCGAAAAACTGACCTCGTGTTCGATTCCTGAATATTCTCCCTCCGTATTCTCACGGATGGTAACAACATCTACGTTTGTGTACAAAGTCTCACAGCCAGCAAGCGACCGACAAGGACGCACGTTCGCATACAAGTCAAACTCTCTGAAAATAAAATTTGAGCATAATTACAGCAAAATGCAAGTTACATTTTATAAAAAAACGAATCAATATTTTTATCCATCAACATTTTGGAAATCATAACCAAAACCATCAGCTTCCTAAAATAAATGAGATTCGTTTCATGCCTCAGAATTGTGATTCGTCCACAGTCGAACAACCATCAAAACGCCCCATGATAAGCCCCCACCTCCGGCAACCGCCAAATTAATTAAAAAAAAAAAAAATACCTTCCCTAATGATGAAAGCATTGGCAACTTCATTAAAACTCCATACACCATACGGCAAAATAAGGAACAACTCATGCATCCCACCAATTAATTTATTCTTCAATAGCCCACCAACAAGATAAAAGTTTCTGCGAGATGTCTGCAATAAAAAATTAAAAATAATGACGAACAGAGCGATGAAATTTCATTTTTTGGGAAAATTAGGTAGATATAATACGATTTGCGTATCGCCCGCTTATTTTGCTTGTTTGCAGAACGAATAACAATTTCTTCCTTTGGTACTCATTTTCCCTTTTTCTTAGCTTTTTTGATAAACCAATAATGCCATCTAAACTGCCAACGTATTCAAATCGCCACAAACCTAACAAATGATGGCGGCTTATGGACGTTTGACTGTACTTTCGTAGTAGAAACTAATCTAGTGATAATGTCTTTCACATAATTTTGACTCGCGGATTGACTCACGAAAAAAGGGATTACAAATAAAAACTAACTTGCGTAACGCCAAGTTGAGAGATCGGTGCCCTTTCCCGATGGGCGTCATCAGTGGCCCCTTGAGGCCGACGAGATTCCTATTGACGGAGTCGATAGCTGCTTGAGGAATCCCGAAGGTACCGTCTGGCCGCTTCACAGGCGTCACATCCACCGTCTCCCATGAGATGGGTACCTTCACACGAGAGTGCGGGGACATTTCTTTTTATGTCATTTTCAACTGAATCTTCACGGGTTTCGATTCCAGGAAAAAGGAACAAGATCGCATCGCACTTTTGGTTGAAGTAAAGAGCAGTCAAGAAATCTTCAGGCATGATGTAAGAATTGGGTTCAGGAATTCGAGGAAATGTCATGGATTCATGATGAAATAAGTGTTCGGTTGATGAGACTCGACATTAACTACAGTTTTCCGTTATTTTCTCTTTTCTTGAAAAATTTTTCCAAGTTAGCAAACCCGTTCAAATCATTGATTTCTTGTTTTCATGAATGCAGAAGAATTACGAAGACAGCTTTAATGAAAACCCCAGCAATTTTCATTATTGCTACCTGTCTAACCCAGCACTAATGAACTAAAAACAATTATTGCACTACACCTGATTCATTAGTAACCTGAACCTACCATACCCGAACAGAGCCTATCCTAACTCGTTAGTAATTCTTCTCATACGTGGAAATAAATAAGGATAACGGAATGCAGAACTATGCGAAGGCAGTGTTAACAAGGAAGAATTCAAGAATTATTTGAACTTTTTTTCTAACTTTAAAAATACTTTTCAAGATACTGTATCAGGAAAGAGCAAATACAAATAATGTTGCGTCGAGCTTCATCAACCGGAAACTTCATATTTTAGAAAACTTCCACGCGATAAAGTAGGGCACTTACTTCAGCAGCCTCAAAAATCTTCACCACGGCAGCAGAGATTTCTGGCCCAATACCATCTCCCGGGATCAAGGTGACTTTTTTCACGTCGGTAGATTGAAATCGTCTAGCAACACGACTAACTTCTAGCGAGCCCGAGCGCATCTGTATCCAAGAAAAAATAAACAAAAAAAGGAATACTGAAGAACCGAAACGAGAATCGAAAATATTTGCTTAACTCACAGAGCCTCGAGCGATCAACAAACAACTTCTCAGCATGGATGAAGGCGACATGGCGAGGATATTGCACTAAAATGATAGCCTCAAAGATCAACCGAATACGGTAGTAAATGCGGTGGAAAACGCGAACACTGATCCAGAAAAAGAAAAAAAATCCACACGAGTCCCGCTAGACAAAGACTAGACGCGGTCTCAGACCTGAAAATTGACGCAATACAGTATCAAGTTTCTACATTCCATATGATCAACTCCACCTTTTTAAGAATGAACGTGAGTCAACAATACACGCACTAAAATCATCCTTCTCTGATACCACTCCGGATACAAAAACACTCAGCATTAAAATCCCTCTCACTTCGGGTACAAAAGTGAAAGATGATGATAGGCAAGAATGGCTGTTCATTCAACAATAAACGCGAAACTTTCGGGAATATTCCATAAATCTTGTGTGTAATTCTGGACTTGACCAAATACCATTTTATAGCTTAATGGCAACTCAAGTGACTGACTCGCGAAGATCGGCATGCACAATGATACAAAATAAACTATACAAAAGCGTTCCACAACTGGACTGTACAGATTTCGAGCAGATTATACGACTTCATCAGCGTCGACGGCTCGACTTTGGAAAATCGATCAAACGTGGCAACTGCCGATAAATGTCATCACAAATTAACACCCGAACTTCGCGAGAAAGGCAGTTGAATAAGTTGATCAATATATTATACGGAAAAATTAAATACCGCAATATTTACAGTGATTTCAAGGAGTACGTTGCGCAAAGAAAACCCGAATTCAACACGTATCCGATAAAAACTTTCGGTCCGTTTTACGCCAAATTATTACCGGTTCCACAACTGAGATCGCCTAGATCAGGCTCTATTGGTTCCGTTTTGCATTTCGAGGGTTTACGAGCGAGGGCCGCGGTGTTGACGGCGTGGGCGGCGCACAGCACCGTGGACATCTTGATCAATCCAAACAGACACATGTTTTGCAAGAGGCAGCAGAAGTTCTTTGAAAGGTTCGAGGAGATAATCCAATCGATTTTGTCGTTGAGGAACATAGAAACTGCCAGATCCATGTGACAGTCGCCAGCGAAACTACATAAAATAAACACATTTCATCCAGACTCGTGTTAAAACTCACATTCCTATACGAGGGTTATCTCAAAAATTTGCAAGTTGAAAGAAATTTGTCTATGGAAGCACTCAATTTTTCTGAGAACGTGGAACAAATCATGGGATCTACATGGAAAGGTCAGCTTAAAAAATTCGGACTATACCTAGGCAGTGAGGAAGAAACCCACCAATAGTAAATTTTTATCCGAGCCATGTTGGACACCCGTGATTTTTTTTTACATCATCACCAAGGGTATAATTCAAAAATTTTCAAAATAGAGCGGCGATGAGGGCTTATCGAGAAGCTGTTTCACATCTCAACGAAATTAAAGTACAGTATCTTGGATTTACCAAATTTCCTGTTGTCACATGCTTTCCATACTGGGCGCCTGAATTAAAATAAAGAGGCATTCAAAAATAATGAGACACGCAAAGAAAAATTTACTGAAATGCCATTGAAGATAGTCTTCATCAACGGACGTAAAATGAACGAACTTGAAAATGTTAACGAGGCCTTTGTACTTATAACCCATTTCAAAGCCAGAAAAAAGCCTTTAGCTCAAAATTCGATTCATTTCGGGATAAGAGATTAATCAAATTTTATTCCAACTTTTGCCAAGAACAGCAATTATTCCAAAAACATGTTCATGTGAACCATTAACAATGCGGCAGCAAGGCTTATTCCAATTCAGCAAAATAAAAAGATCAAAAGCTACTCACTAGTGCTTTAAAACGTGTAGATTCCAGGCTTTCATCAATGATTTCTCGCCTTCGTTAACGTCAGTGAAATCGTCAATCATCAAATGCGTTTTCGTTTTGAGCCAATCGGGATCGGTTTCGTCGTCTGATTCCCCGACGTGCTCCGCGGATGGGACTGGCAAACACGTGATGGTTCGGTAATACAACCTGCAAAGCACGTCGGAAACATATGCGAACTAAGGACGGGTCTGAAAGAAACCAGCAGTATGTGTTTTCAACTTTTTCTAAGCACGAAATAAATTCTTCTCTTCCTGAATGAAAACGTTGGAATTTCAGGACAAAAACAATTTAAAAATTTCATCGATGAATAAAATCTTGCGCAGCAAAAACACGCCACCCAACAAACCACAGATGACAAACGAAAAGATAATAATACAGCTCAGCTACTGTTCTGGATAGAAAAATGCAAATTCACCTAAAGTCGAGATCATGAAAGAGATCTACTTCACCATCAACACGAAAATATGCTACATGCAAACTTTCCTCTGAAAATGAAACCAGAAACCAGCACCGACGACATAAAAAAAAAAGCGAAGCTCACCTACGGTGGCCAGTCACGAAAGTCCGATGACAATCGGATCCATTTTCCCCTGAGTTTCCATTTCCGCCATCTGCGTTTCGTCGGCCAGAACCCGGAGCCAAAAACTGAGATAAGGACGCGGTAGGCTTACCTGCACACAAAATTTCGGTAACACAAGTTGGCACTTCCCGCAAATTGAGACCATCACACGCAAATTCGTGCACAAGACCATCTACCAGTACACTGTACAAAGCAAACCACGAATTCGAAAAGTTCAATAAAACCGGCTTTAAAAAGTGCATCGCGTCGTGAGGCCACTGCGAAAAACGGGGAAATCACCATGCCACGTTCTTGCCCTCTAAAAAATTTCCGCGGCCTACCCACGGAACCGGCTTATACAGTATGTGCGAAAATTCAGTATTTATCGCCTCAATTTTCGCCCGGAGCTAAAAATGAATGTTCTAAAGAGATGGAAGATTTTTTGCAAATTTTTCTTATTAAAGACATGCTCATAAATTTTCGGAAACACATTTCAAAAGAGACTGCATGAACCGACTTTTTATATGAGCATTAAAACTTACATCCGGATCTTCGAGAACTCATCATAACCCAAGTGGCGGTGCTTCGAATTCGAGGTTCTCTTCGACAACCCAAAGCTCCTGAAAATTCGACAGCACTGAGTTCTGCAGGATTCCCGTTGAAAGACCCGTCGTAGTCGTAGTTGACGGTCACTTCAATGCTCGCCCCTTTCCCCGGTAAGGCCTTCAAAAAAGAGCACGTCAAAGTAATCGCCGCGGAGAAAAATTGCAAGCCTTTGCAGCTAGATTCTCTAATAAATTAATAACCCATTCGAGGATACCAGCACTGATACTTGATCATTCAATATAAATAAATTGAGCGTAAGCGGAGTGGTTTTTATATTTGCAGGCATACTGATATTGATTTTTAAGGCACAAAAAGAGTGCCGTTAAATCGAAGGGAGAATCTCGACAATTCGTCAACATCCGATTTCCCAGTACAGTCAACATTATTCGCACAATCAAAAATGATGAAAAAGCTAATTCTGAAAACTCTTTCAACTTACCGAGTAGACGAAGTTCAAACGTGCGTGACATAAACTCATGTGCTTCAGCAAAGCGTACAACGATCGACAATGAACGGTACAAAATACGCAGCTCAATGACGACCCAGTCACCACTTTCGATCCCAGAATACGTTTCTTCTCACAGACGAAATTCATTTGGACCACAGAAGGCAAAGATTGCCGCAGTCGCTTACGCTTCTCGGCAGCAGCGGAAACTTTCAAAAAACGATTTTCAAGTTTTTCATTTTCAGGCAAACAAAATTAATTTAAAAACAAGAAAATTACTCACGTTTCTCTTCGGACTTGAGTTTCGCTCGAGGATTGACTAGCGAATCATGAGCTCTGCGGAAAGCTGTTTCAGATACAGTAAACGGCTGGATTGGTGCATCTTTCGCTACAGTCCACGCAACACTCAGCTGAAGGAGCGCAGTGCTTCTGAGTTCCTTTTCCTGTGAAATGAGAAATTTTTGCATAAAAAAAAAAAAAAAAAAAACGATGTAGATATACTGTGCATAAATATTCCAGGGTTGGTTTGTAAAAGATGATGAACAGCCAAATGCCGTCATCAGAGGCGGATGCAATTTTTTATTTTGCTCCTCAATCCGTCATTGGTGTCTAATAAATGTTTCGTCCACTACTCAGCTACAGATGGAAACAAGAAAACAACCTCAGTCAATGCTCTCCGCTGAAGTGCACTGGAGTGAAGTTTAATGGATCAATTAATTGTAGAGCATGCAAGTGCGCAGCTCTTCTTGATCCGTTAAACTTCCCTTCAGTACACTTCAGTGGAGAGCATTGATTGTGAGGTCTTTTTCTTGTTTCCATCTGTAGCTGGGCAGTGGATGAAATTATTAGACCCCAATGAAGGCTTGAGAAGTAAAAGAAAAAATTACATCCGCCTCCGATGACGGCATTTGGCCGTTTATCATCTTTTATCACGAACCAACCCTTGTACTGTATATACATTTTTTAAAGTCAGTTTAGATCTGAAATATCAAGAGGTATTTTGGCATTTACAGAGAACATGTTTGAATCAAATTCACGCGAAGCAAGAATATTATTTTTCAAAACGTACGCTCGTATTTTTACACATTCTCGAAAAAATCAATGTCGGGAGTTTATTGATTCTACCGTAATTTAGAAACATCGCGACTATTCAAATGAACCATGTATTTTAAACCAGTACCATCCTCATATTCCCCCGCGGATCTACAATAATTGAAAACATTCAAGCAACTGAATTTTGGTCAGAAAACATTGCTAAACAGATATAGATATGAAAGAAAAAAAATCTAGATCGAGCGAAGTATTGTACAGTAGATTTTGGACTCTACGCATCACGAAAATGTTCGAGGGATAGATGATAAATGACAAGAACAAGAGCACGCTTACGACTTTCTGAAATGCGGAATTCTGAGGGGCAGGGATCCACTTCATCCCTGATGCAGCTGGAGTTCGGCCAGTAGTCGATACGACGTCATTCAACGGCTTCAGAGTAAACTCGTACTCTCCGTCCGGCAACTGACACTCCCCAGTGAAACTATAAACGGTAAAGTCGGCCATGAACCTCATCACGTCACTTCGTTGGTCCTCTCCTAGAGTAGAAGACGAACTCTCCTGTTCGGACAGCTTCCGTTTCTTCGTGCTCGATGGACCTTAGAAAAATCCCATGAGAAATTTATTTAAAAAAAAAACACCACGCAGAGAACTTCTGCACAATGATCAAGTGAATTTGTTCCCAAAACAAGTCAAGTTTCAACCGAGAAGGCGGCTGGCAGCACCATTTTTCAAGATTGCAGAAGTTTTTCATAATTTTATTCATCGATCTCCTTCCGGAGAGCTTTTTGTTATTGTTCGCTGATAATCGAGTGAAAAGTCAACTTATTTTAAGATTCATGTGATTATTTGTAGAAGAAATTCTTCAAGTACCTGGAATGAATCGGACATTTCCTACAGCTGTGGAAGATCAAGTTAACGGGTTTTTCGGGTCAGGAAACAAATAGCCATGTTATATAGCTTTACGTGTCAATTGATGAATTTTCCGAATGGGTCCACGTAGAAAATAATTTGAAGAGAGAAAAACACACTGAACTACCTTCATTTTCTCCACTAGCCCGAACTTCCACTTCGAGTTTGTACTCCACAGTTTCTTTCTCGGGCCTCATTGGACTAAAACAGAAGGCCGGTATTTCAAACGAAGTATCGCTCGATGACAGCTTGGTTCTCTGCCGTAATATCTCCTTCACGACCTCCTAAAATAATCCCAGCATGATTTAAAACATGAAACAGCCTCGGTCATTCTCCAAGGACTCTCACCTTTGACACAGTGCCGAACACATTCTTTCGCTTGCAAAATGCCCGTTTGTTCAACCAGAAAACGATCGACAACTCGTCGAAACTAGATTCATCTTTCAACAACAAACCTCCGAAAGAAAAATTTCCCACGTTGATTTTGAGCGAGGAATATCCACGCGGTGTAGAAGGTGCATCCGCAATCAGCGGAACCTGGCGTTCAACAGCAGACAAGAGACTGCTCAAGTAGGAACGCTTAAAATCCCTTCTCGAATGGGCAAATTTTTTCTCTGGCTCTTTCACATTTCCGTTTCTAATGACACCGGTAGGAGCAGACCCCGACTGATTTACTTCTGTCGACTCGACTCTCATGTACCACAAGTTCCGTTGAAGAAATGTCGGCTGAAAATAAAGCGATTAGAACAGATATGACAAAGCTGGTGTTTCGAGTAATGCAAAGTGACGGTTTTCTGCATCCCAAGAATTTTATGCTTGCACTCACGTGGAATTTTTGGTGAGTTCCAATTTGACGGTAAATTTCAATCGATTCTGAAAAAAAAAGCATCAAAAGGATCATTTTTATTCAACGAACTTGAAAAAATTCCAAGCCTTTCCTGACCTAAAAATCGAAACCGAAATCTACACGTGATTCATCACGAAAATAATAAATAAACGTATCTAGCTCAACGTTTTTGTTCGTATTTTTAGTCTTTCAACTCGGGATTCCCATGAAATTAATGAATATAGTGCCCCAAATTGGAGACGTTGACCGCAAAATGTATTTGGATGCATTTGCTTTTTTTTAATGCAGATGCATCCGAGGCTACTCTTCTAATCTGAATGGCTTCCAAGCATTGATGTACAATCGGCCACAAGATTAACTTAAAGCTTCTTAAAAAAACATCGATAAATTACTAGTAGTCGTTTCTCGAGTCAAATGAACGCCATTGATTTCCTCAGTGCAGTAAATGCCAGCAGGTAATTCAAGGACTCGTGTGATCAGAATAAATTCAGTTCAGTCCATGCTCGAAAATACATAATTCGGTGCTTCAAAGTACGTGAAGAAAAATGTCACTCACTTCCAAAGTTTTCTTGGAAAACCCGCACAGCCATTGATCGTGCGGATCCAACATCGCCTCTGTCATCATTATGAACTTGATTAGGACAGCTGATATTTTTCAAAGCATCAGATGCTCCATGGGTCATTCTCACGAACACAATACCCGTTTGCCGAGATCACTCGCGAAAAATAAAACACATTCCTTCATTCACTCTATGAAAAAAGCGAATAAGTAGGATGAATAAAAAGTAAGTACAGTATATATATTTTTTTTAAATAAGGAATTGAACACGAACCCACACAGTTCATCATCGGTGCTATTTTACGACAACCTCAGAAGTCGACACGCAAGGAACAATCACGAAATAACTCAGGCATAACACCAAAGCCACAGTTATCGCAAAATACTCAAACAACGTCCTCAAAAATAATTTACAGATCGCGTAGATTTAGTCCAGGATGTCTTTCGAACGGACGGATTCGAAAAGACTCGACACTCCGGAATGGTACCAGTAGTCGTTTCTCCGAACTTTCTAACAGAGTCACAAGCGAGCATCATTTCAAAGTCAATGAGGTGCAAGGCGATTCAAAGCATGAGGAGAGGAAAATGAGCCTCCGATATATCCTTAGCAGGTTCCTTTGCACAAAGATGAATTCTTTAGCTACCGTTGAAGACAAAACAGACCCTTCAATTTCAACCGATTAGACGTCCCAACTTTTCCGCGCGAGTCGTAGGCGCTATGTGATCATGATTATTGGAGATCGTTTGAAACGATGGACAAAATCTGGTTTTGATTAGACTCGCGCAATTCACTGGCGTCGTAGGAGCACAGACAAATCGACTAGATTTCGAATTTTTATGCACACAACACAATGGCACAAACTTTGAAGGCCACCATTTTAATGCACGACGATGCGTAGAAAATACGATCGTGCTTCAATGTTTGTACGCTTTCAAGCACGAAATTTCAGCAACCACATTCAGAATCACAACAGTTCATCCCACAACGTCGGAAAAAAATTTTAACGTTGCAACAAATAGTTACCACCCTAGCGCGGAAGCGCACACAACCAAATGAATGCCAAAATTATTTAAAAAAAAAAGTAGCAATTGGTTACGATCGCAAAGCAAACCAAAATTTCGGACGCCATCATGGTTTCAATAAAACAATTCTTTGCACAAAATGAAATTCAACCACGAGATTCTCGAGAATGTCAGAACAAACTCATCTTCCTTTATTTGCAAAAAAAAAATGTTTCATTGCAAGTATTCGTAAAATTCAGTAAGAGATTCACAATTTAGAAAACCTGGCGAAATAGTTGATTTTCAATCGTCGTTCTTTTTCTCCAATCTCCACGAGAATTTTATTTTCCAGGTAAACCTCGCTTAAACTCACAAGTGTGAATAAAAATTCATCAGAACTGACTGAACGAGATTATAGCAGCGTGAAAGAGGAGTTAGAGTCTGTAACCCTTGTATCAAACTTCCGCAAGAAAAAATGCAAATTGAAAAATAAATAAAAAATGAGATAAAACTGCCTGTAAAAAAATCTAGATAAAATTCTGCCCTCGTTTTCTTAATTTACCCGAAAATTAGGTTGGTATATAGCTTAGCCTAGGATTCAGCTTTCCGGTTTCAATAGGCTGTGGATTCATCAACATCCACCATTTCTCTAACGCTCTTACCGAACTTCAAATGAATGAAAACCAACACGATTCCGGTGACCAGGAACAAACCCCCAACAGAAATGTAAGCAAACCCTAGAAAAGGGTTTTTGCCGCCAAACAATGAGGTTGTGGCCAGTACGAAGCTCTTCGTCCCATTGAAGCTCTTCACTGGATATGAGTATTTGATTTGGAGTTCATAATTACCTGCCGGGAGCCCGTTTTTGAAATATGTTTGAGTGTTGTCAATGATTCCATAGTTTTTACGAAAATCCGGGAAAGCCGATGTACGCATCCACACCATCAGAGGCTCGTAACGAAGAGCATCGTTAGTGCGAGAAGCGGAAGTTAGCCTCCAGATTTCTTGCGGCCAATTGAATGGCTTGGCAGTGCCACGAAAAGCAGCTTCGGGATAAGCTGGATCATAATTCTGCGGGTTGGCGAATTTCATTCGAATATCCGAGTCCCAGGCTATTCCATCACGCCTGATTTTGACTTCAGTCCTAGACGATTAATATGAATATGTACATTAAAAATTCACACTGTTGAATCACCAGACTTCAACGCATACTACGTTTCCGTCCTTCGATAAAATGGTGGGAAAGCACTGGGTGTTGAACGATCACCAATTTCTTCAATTCAATCGCGGAAAATTCTAGACATGCTGGTTTCAGTCCTCGTCAGTGATAAGTTAATGTGTAAGCACGTATTGGAAATCGGACATCCGGATTGAACGGGGCATTATAATCGCGTGACATTGAGTTCAACTTTTTAATTTTTTTGAATTCTCCTTTTTAAACCAACTAAGCCATACCAAATTAAAATAGCCTAGATTAGAGATGAACTTCGGATTTGAAAAAATTCGTAAAATATCCTCGTCAGTTCACTGGATGTCACAAAATTATTTTTTTCATCATCTTTGGCGTAGATTTCTATTGAAAAAAATAAATAAAATTACATATTAAAAACGCTCAAGAGTACATGTGTACACTTCGGATCACCTTGAGTAATTTCGAAGGGAATTGAATTTCTATGATATATTGTTCTGGTTTTTTTCCTAGGTCAAATTTCGCGAAGAAAAAATGTAAAAATTCTGAAACATGTCATTGTTGTCAATGTGGCAAATACGCGGAAAATTTCAGCTATGACAGGGCTATTGGAAGTGGGTTCCAATCGAATATTAAACTTCGTTGCATTTGGACATACTGACAGACTTATTATACCTAAATTAAATTAAGTAAAATAGACGTTAGTAATTATCAGAAGTCTAGAACTCTAGACAAATGATGAGTGGCAAAACCTTTGTTTCAACCCCGAAAATTGAACGAGCTAAGAGCTCACGAATTTTCACTTCGCGAACGCGATCAAATTTTAAAAATTGAACATTTCAGCTGTTCCCCATGTAAGAAGAAACATAAAAGCTGATCCCCATGTAAGGTACAATTCGAATTTTCACAGAAAACTACCATTTAAAAAAACTTGAAAGATATTCAAAAAATGTATGTTTCTCACAATATGATGCGTTCGGGGAAATGCTACGGTATAAATAATCCAGAAAACTAACCGAGCTCCAAAGTTCAACGGAGTGTACGACAACGAGTACGTATCGTTGAACAAACTGTTGGCAATGGCACCGCACGGAACGATCGGCAATTTGCCATTGTAGGAAAATTGCCCGCAATTTTCAGACGGCTCTTTCCGCACTGATCCGAGCAGCTGAACGTCATCCCTTGACTTGACGTATCGCCGGTGGTTCTGGTAATAGTTGGTCAGCTTATAATACACGTAAACGCTTCGCCCTTCCGTCCAGTCTTTGTCCATCTTGAAGTTTATCGTACACGTGCAAGATGTGCCCGGGTAACGCTTTAATTGGTCGGCGCATCTGATGAACAACAAGAACTTAGATTTCTTGAAAATGAAAATAAGCTGAGCTAATTGGAGATATCAGAACGATAGGATAGCCATTTCTGATGTATCTTAAACCAGCAACCATGACCATAAATAGTTGAATTTAAAACTTCAATGAATTTTTGAAACCCGAACGTTCCATTAAATGATTAAAAATCCCAATTTTTCTGCATTACTGGAGTTTTTCATCTTCTCGGCTTCAAGAAACCTTTCAAAATAAATTTCAAAGACAGAGCCCTCTTGGCCCATCCGATTCACAAATTTCATCAGCGGTAGAATGCCCCATTGCTTACAATACTGTAATCAGATCGTGGTCCTTCCTTTTTCGTGCGTCATGCATCTTTAATTCATTTTGAAAATTTTTTAGTTCCCAAAGGGGCCACAGAACTCGCCAGGAAGTATAAGCAAAGCCCTTATAACTCCAAAGAACATCAGTTGATAACCTCTGCTCCAATAAACCAAACGCAATTTAGAGTGCAAAAGACATTTACCAACATTAAGACACTTGACGATGCTCAAGTAAACACAAGAGCAAAATTAAATTACTTCGCAATTTAATAAACTGCAATGAACAGTAATGAACATGTACTGGTTCCATGAGAGAAGCACGCGGCTCGAAAATCCCCGAGGCCAAAAAATATCGTGGCCCAAAAATCTTGCGTGGTACGAAAATCCCACGACCTAAATTTCTGCGCCTGAAAAGCCTTTTTCGGGAACTAAATTAGGCGATGATGTGTCGACCCTCTGAAATACCGTCGTTACTCGAGTACCATGTGCCCCCAATTAAGACACAGGGGATTTTCAGTCAAGTTTTTCAAAAAAATGGCATCCCCGAGTCAGATGCGCACCCCATTTTCAGTGACTCTAAAACTTTAATATTTTAAAAATGAAAAAACCCAAATTTGAATTTAGATATGAATTGATCATGAATTAATATACAGTGACTCCCATTACAATACTTTTTTGTTTCTGTTTAAAATTGGTTCGACACTGTCAATTAGAATAAGATATAATGCACAACTAAACTCGTGAAACTTTTTCTAATACTGTAATTCATACCCACATATGACACACACCCCTTGTTTCCTCTCAATTTTGAGAAAAAAGCGCACGTGGTACTCGAGTGAATGCTTTAACAATCATTAAAGCAATTTCGAAGCCAAATTTCATTCAACAGGTTAAATTTCGGAATCCTCAAAATCAATCTGAGGTGAAATTTGATTTAGTTCTAGGCTGTCTTTCAAGATTGCCAGAGCCCAGATCAGTTGAGCTCTACTGTACTTATACTTATAAGTGTTGAAGCATTTGGAAATTGCCAAAAAAAATTTGATCCGCCAACTCTGACGGGGTAGGCAACACAAGATTTTCGAGCCTACAGGATTTTCAAGCTACGGGATTTTCTCTCTGGTGCCATGTGTCTCCTACACCCACATGGATTTACAGTAAGAAACTGCATGTGAAGTTGTTTTGAGGCCCGGGGAAAAGAAGACTTTTCACTGGATTAAATATACGGTGATAACGAATTCCACTCACGTGTTCCCAGGGAAACCACAATCTGTATAGTCGACGACCTTCTCTTTGACATTGGAGGAGATGTGCAACATTCCTACTCCGATGGGAATGAAAGCAATGCCAACGACAAAAAACATGGGCAACACTGTGCCCGCAGTAAGGATCGGCTGCCACGCTGGCAAACGCTGCTGCTCAATCGCTGTGCCCGATGGTTTGTGCAAATTCACTGGCTTAACTTTGTCGTCACTATTCGTAGACATTCTACACTACTAAATAGCAGAAAAAAAGAAGGAACTGCAAAATACAAAATAAAAAAATTGAGTATGCAAGCAGTAATTCACAAAAAAAAATCAAAACGGACTTCCGTTTTAAACGCACTCCGCTGAAACAAAATACAGTACAGTACATTCTTATTGAATAGGGAACCTATTTCATGAATTATGATCGGAAAAACAATCGACATCATAGGACTTACGAGATCGTTGAAATATGGACGAACGCAGGAACTTACAACACCCCACACGTCTCATTTGATTATTTTTGCTGTTAAATTTTTAAAATAATTTTCGATACTTTTTAAATATTTTTTCTTCTATTCGTAAAACATAAAATTAATTTAAAAAAACGCGGGATACTCCCACAGAAAGAGGAAAATGTGACAGCTTTCAAACAACCCAGTCCAATAACGTTCAATAGTCGAATGGGTACATTTTCATGAACTTGTTCCAGCGAAATCCGTCTGATCTTCAGGCGATATTCTTAAAATTCACTCGAAACGAATTTATTCGTTCCTTTCTTTCCCAAACGCAACACTTTTGGTGGAATTCCTTGATAAAGAAACTCTCGACTTCTTCACCTTGCCAACCAGCACGCACACAACACATTTTTTTCTTCACGACTAGTAAATGATTCGGGCACTGGCACATCAAATCCAGACGTTCTCCGAGAATCTTCCCGAAAGCGAAAACAAAAAACCGAACAAAAAACGTCTACCAACATCCAATGAAAAGACCGATTACGCCAGACTCAGCGTCCGAACAACTGCACCCGAAAGGATTACACCAATGCCGAAAACTGTTCTGCAAACGATTTCGGGTGACACACTGTGCGAGCTGTACAACGCAACACAACCCCGCGTGACCACTCTTGTGCTTTCGGAAATTCGATATAAAAAATCCATCCAGGAAAAAATGCCACGGAAATAAATACGCCGATATAAAAACCCCCTATGCATGGCACACTGGAATGCGCCTAATAAGAACACGCCCCATTATTGTACTTCTGCAGATCATGGACATCAGTTGTTACCTAAAATTCCTAAACTGACAAAGATTTCTTTCCAGAAAAAAACAAAAAATGGTCATAACCATTTACCAATAAATGACTGTTTTTAAAGAAGAAAGCTTCGGTGCCGCGCGATATCAACAGCTGCTGTCCATGAACCAACAAAAGAATCCTCCAGCCATTAGCCCGAAAACTAGAAGCTTGTTCAATGCCACAGAAAAAATGCCGATTCAATCGTGATACCCCCGAGCGAAAAAAATAATGCGATATTGACCAGGTAACAGCAAAGTCCTTGCACAAAAGTCATGACAAAAAAAATCAAAGCTCGATCCGTGCGACCAGATGATTTCAAGATTTCGGTTGAGACAACCTCGCCTCAAGCACCGAACAAAAAAATTCCCCACGCGAAAAATTCACAAGACTGGGCCATAAATATTCCAAGGAACACAAAAAGGGAGTGATTTGGACTTTCGCGAGATGCTCTTTCTTCACTTCCTCACGCAGACCAACGGAGGAAAAAAAACGGGGTATGTGTTTCCACGCTTTTGCTGATGCGAGATTGCGATGAGGTAATCTGCAACGGTTGGATGAAGTAAAAAATGACTTCACTACAATTACGAGCAAAAAGGACAGCAAGGGATTGCGATTTTAGCATCCCGCATAGATTTAATTTTCAAGATAAACAACATTACGAACGCAATATGAGAAAACTGTGAATCAGAATAAATCGGTAAGACTAAAATAGTAAAACGAGTTCAGAGCGAAGTTCGAAACACACCATTGCTTTTAGCGGCCAAATCAAACAACTGACTAGCTGATTTTCCCGCCTAAAAATGGCGCTTACTTCAATGCCTCATTCACCCTAGTAAACGGCACATTGTGTAAAAAAAAAATGAATTGATCCTGCACCTCTAACTTTACGGTGTCAAGATTTGCAGGTAAAGTTAATGATTTACAACCAACACAGTCCTTTTGAACACCAATTTCATTTAAAAATCTATTAAACGAATTTTCTGGCCAGTTTCAGTTCATGCTCAACTAGAGTCCCGAAAGATTTGAGGAGAGCCGGTAACAGAAATGAGAATAAATGGACTCCTCCGAGGATAAAATTTAATGCAATAAAAGCACACCTCAGAATCGAACGCAAACCGGTTCATATTCCAGAGACGAATAAATTCAGCATCTAATATTCAATCAATTGAAATAAGAATTCTTCCTGCTTACAACATGGTCTGATTTTTAAATACTTAAGTCAAGACGTATATTTAAGCTGGAAAATAAATTAGCAAGGAACTGACCCTTCTGGTAACCTCATCATTCCAAAGTAATGGACGAGTTTTCATTCGGCGTGAATTCATGCTCGTCACGGCTGTCTTCGTTACTCGATTCGTGATCGCTCTTCGCATCCTCGTCGCCGGACTCAAAGAACTCCCGTTTGCAGCCATCTCCGTATTGCTTGACTCTCGCATTCTCATCAGCCACTTCGTCGCTCGGTGAATCTACCGGAGAGTCGCAGCTGAATTCCGCGAGCTGCAGGGATTCCTGCTTCACCTAAAAAATCGATTCACAATATGAACAAAAACAACCATACCGATAGTTCACAAAAATTCGTATCATGTGAAATTCTGAACAGTGAATACAACGGAACTGAAACCAACAGTTCTTGTCCAAGAGCAGAACAACGCTTGATTACACGTCGATTTCCCTTTCACGTCACTAAGCATTTCAACATAATTAAGGATTGCATTAATTGGGCATGGTTTGGTTATATTTGATTGACACGAGTGAATGAGCAAAATCTTCGGCCAGTCCTCTGTCATGATAATTAGGTGATCAAAAAGAAAATAACATTCACATAATCTAAAAAAAAAGCGTGAACGGCCTTGGAATAATCAATTTTCTAAATTTTACCGATAATTTAAAATTAACCCGCTTTTTTGCTTGCTTGAATGAAAGAATACCGGCATTTCTCATTATCGAAGAAAAGGAAACTTGCTCAAACAAAGGTTTAAAAAACCACGTTTACTTCCCTCAAAATTTGTAAAAAAGGTTGCCAACATGTTCTTACCTGATGTAGGAACTCGTGTTTCCGCATATGCTGCTTTCGCGTGAATTTTCGACCGCAGATGGAGCACGCGAACGGGCGGTCCCCGAGATGGATGCGGACATGGTCGATGCCGTGGGTTTTTTTGCTCGCAGTGTAAGAACAAAACCCGCAGAGATACACCAACCGACCATTCAGATCGCGTCCTTTAAAGAGACCATTCAACTCCGGACTCGGACCCTACAAAAAAAAGCTTAATTATTAAAAAAAAAATATGCTGATTACTTATGGAAAACTCTGCAAAAATTCAGTAGAAACGTGTGAAATAGGAGCAATTTAGCACAAGTTTTCACCTCCACTGTTATATCCGGGGGGACGTGTTGAGGGTGATCCAATTCAATGTTATACAACGAAAACTTCGTTCCGTCAGATTCTCCGTCATCGCCCAAATCGAGGACGTCGTGTGTGTTGTTTATTATCTAGAATTTAAAAAATATATAAATAAACGCAACTAAAACGACGTTCTCCCAACCGACCACGTCTTCAACGTTGAGTCCAACATTTTAGAAACGGATTCAAAAAAAGGACTCACGAGCTGGGCGGAAAGATCTCTTTTCTGCTTCTTTTCAGAGCTTGGCGACGTTCGCCGAGTACGTGTTTTCTAAGGGGAAAAATTTTAATCATAGACGCATGGAAAGAAAAATAACTAAAATAGTGTTCGCGAGATCTTCTCAAATTTAGACATTTTTATGTATGCTGCAGCTAAAAGATTAATTATTCCTAGACTTTTCGAATAATGGACTTCATATTGGTACGTACTGTATTAGGTACATCACCAAAGGCACCACTGCAGTTTTTTTCCCTCAAATAAAAGATCCGAATCAGAATGTCGTCAATACAGTAGTCGCAAGAGGTCTATGTACAGGTAAATTCTCTCTACAACTAAATTAAGGAGACCTTAAAAAATCGTTGCAGAGAGAATTTCGTTCAAGAAAACCCGTATAACTTGGGGGAGAACCCTACAGGACCAAAGAAAAAAATTCGATATGCAGAGGAAATCGTCGTTGACAAAATCGTTGTAGAGAGAGTCCACCTGTATTCTTGTAAAATGTACATGAACTCCGTATTACGACGAATGATCGATTTACCTGAGACTCATTGCCTTTGCTTTCATCTTGCCACGGCGGTGACTCCTTCTTTACGTTAACGGGACTCGAAGGGGTTGCCTTGCGGCTGGTTTGCTGTGTCTTCGCCCCACTCCTCGTCGAATGCGAATTGACCCGCCGCTTTTTTGGGCGGGGCGCCCGCACATCCTCCTCCGCCTCATCTACCGGTGACTGCACAGCCATCACAGCTTCATCGCCTGCCAATTCTTCGACAAGCGGAGAACCACTAAAATGAATGAAACAAAGCCATGCTTCTTAGCGATACAAACTACGGCGTCCAAAATCGGTTGTTGCGCAATGAGAAATTCATGAATGATACATGTGTGTTCTGTTTGAGTGCATGGACACGAAACTCACTTTCTATCCTCTTCGCGAGTCCGCAGGCCTTTGATGTCGAGACTCTCAGCGAGATTGATGAACTGCGGCAGCTTCTCGCTCGGCACCTCGACCTCCCCATTGTACATAAACTCCACGGCCAGACGCAGTAGGTCTTCAGCAACATCGTGAAAGATGAGCACGGGCTGACGACTCGAGTCCGTAATGCGGAATAATTTCTCGAAATACAGTGAACACGCAGAAAGGACTAGTTTGTGCGCCTTAATCTCCTTGCCATCGCAAAACAGAATCACGTCCACCAAAGATCCACACACTCGATGATTCTCAAATGCCCGAATCGTTTCCGTGTGATGAAGATTCCATTTCAGGTTATAGTGTTCGCCTACTTCAGGCTCCATATTTTACGCGAAAAAACGCGATATCACTCGAGAAGTCACATTCAGTTATTCGTCGTTTTCATGTCTATTATACACACCTGAACATGATCCGAAAGCAAATCAGGATTACCACATACGGCTGTCTTAGCCACGAAGTAGAAATCCTCGACCCAAAGAATTATTTTTTTCTGTGAAAAATTCACTGCACGATCTGAACTTCCTGGAACATAGGAAAAAAATTATACAAATTAGCCAGACAATAAAATATACCAGCTGAAGCATGAAAAAAAAATGATTAAGCCACACAGATAGAAATTTAAGATCATTCTTTCCGACACATGTGATCCATCGCAATGTAACTTCGGACAAAACATTCATCATACACAGGCAACCGAACAATATCGTCAATTCTCGATTTTCACACATACTCGTAAGCCACATCAAGAAACCATACACGATACTAAACATAAGCAAATCCAATATACATTTTTGGTAATATTCTTGTTAGGTTTACACTGGCAAGTTGACTGGGTTCTACATTCACACTTCCAATCAAAACTTGATACACCGACAATACGAAATGAACAGCTTAGTTTTCCACATGAACCCCCGCGTGATTTCTTATCCCTTGTACAGACACGCACAGCAAGGAAAAGGAACTAAAAACTTGCGTTTCTAGAGGGTGTTTTCCGCACGGGATATTAAATGGGGAACAATTTTACTGCTTAGATTTTCCATTCGGAACAGGCGAGCTAAATAGGCTCGAAAAAGTTTTTTTTTAGCAAGAATCCGACACAAAATTTTCAACTCTGCAAAATAAACAAAAAAACAAAGCCATCGGAGAAGCAAGCCGAACAGGCGCATTGGGGAGGGATCTCAGGGGAAAAAATTTGCAAACTTTCGCCACTCGCTCGCCTTCAGAGGAAGATCGCATTCCCAAAAGGAAAAAAAAACCGCCGCATGCTTCTCGGTCCGCCAAAAATTATCCCCAAAGGCCCGATTTGAGGATTTGAATGATCGACGAAGCATAATCGACAAGTGGGGGGAAAAACTAGCTCACTTCCTCTTGGCAGCTTCAGGACAATTGACGCTGAAGTAGGGGGGAAAAAGAAGCGGATCCACCTGCGGTATCACGCTTTCTTCGCGTCTATTCCCGGTGGGAAGTTTTTTTGGCGAGACTCGTACGGTATTATTCCTCTTTTTGAAAAAAGGGACTTGACGATTCGCACGGGGAACGGGGAGTAAAAAATTATCCAGACAGGGGTACAGTAAATGCCATGATCGCGATTTTCCCCGAAAGCTCCAAATATTTTCAAACCGTCGATCTCAAAATAACCAAACGGATTACCACTGGAAGATGAATAGCTCAAGAATAACAAGAGCCGAATGAATAACACTTGGTCAATATATCAGTTGCTAATTTAAAAAAACTTGAGGAACATTCTTCTTCACTTCCTACAAAAATTCCGAAAAAGGAATTTTGGCGAGTTCTGAGAGCAAAGAATCGCGAGCTTAGACTAAGACTATGGAATTCCCAGGATAATTTAGAAACCGACAATTTTTCCATTGAAGCTTATAAAGTGACCTTCAACGACTTCCAGAATGATGAAAAGTGTGAAAGTTACACTTCGTTAAAATTCCAAGAAGTTACACTTCGTTGAGTTTAGCAACGAGCATACTTTCAGGCTGAAGATGGACGTTTCCAATACATTTGACGATTAAATACTCCATGCGTTCCTCCCATTTGGTTTTCAGAAACTACGGCAAAAACAACAAGTTCTCAAACTTGAATTACGAAAAACTCGGAAGCTAGCGAGTCAATCATGGATCTGGACATTTCTGCATAACACTCCCCAGTCCAGAAAAAAAGCCACTTCTCGGTGCTTCTCCTTCCGGCAACTTGAGTCGTCTAGGCGCGATTCACCGCCGACACAATCCCTGTTGACTGCAGAAATACGAAGGCTTTCCAAATCCTAATGATGGAAACGGATTAGCCAACGAACTGGCAACAACAGAAAGATCCGTGCACGACGCTCAAAAAATTAACAAAAAAACGGCCGCGTTCAAGCGACAAAAAATTTTCAAAAAAGGCAAATCGCGCCACGAATTCCTTGAACATACTCTAGGATTCCGGAAAAAATCTGATTTTTCCTCTTGTAGCGAAACCATGCTCCTAATGAGAGAGCAAATCGGAGCTCGCTTTTAGGAACTTTCGGCACAAAATGCACACGTTCCACAAGTGAAACCCATTTAAAATTACGAACTGTTACATTCTTTTTGCATTTCGGAGACACGACAAAATCTTTCCAACGTTTCGGATCAGAAGACTGAAAAAGCAAAAAAAAAGAAGAAAATAAAACTCGTTGAAGCGCGCACACCTCCACGACTCGGGCAGCGTTAGGATTTAAGAAAAACTTAGTCACAACCTTTCTCAAAATTTTAAAATGGACTCGAAAGACCCGAACGAATATGATTTCCCCATAAGATTTCAAGAAATCTCAACGCGAAGTGTCTGTTGAAATTCGACAGCAGCATAGAGTATTTGGAGAACTGCGGAAGCATATTCACAATGCGTAGAAAAAGGGGAAAATGAAGAAACACATCGAAAATGACGCACTCAAACTATCACTAACCCAGGTAAATGAAAGTCACGTCTCTTCCTTCAGATTCGATCAACTGCGCAGCACAGAGGTGGGAGAAAGTTTGAATCTCATCAAAAATGCGACCTAGCCAGGATACAAAAAGAACCAAATTTCGATCCAAAAAACTCATGGAACGCAGTTCGTTTTCCGTCTTTGTAAGCGTTGCCATCATTAAAACGATTGTGTCCATGAGGATACTTTGTACCAACTTTTTTCTTTCGCACCCGGTGATAAAAAATAAATAAAATAAAAAAACAGCTTGCCTCTTCATAATGATATAAAAGCTCCGAGGCCAAATTTTATTAGATGGAATTTCGCCTTAGATCTCTATCCAGAGTGATTCATAGACACGAAGGAAAACGTTCAAATGACTCTTGACTAAGTACGTCAGCCAGATTTGTTCGATATGAGACCACCAAAGAAGACTCGAAATTCGGACTCGAAGTGTCGAGTCTACCGTGACCTGACTTCAATTGAATAATAACAATATTATAAACTTCCAACATGGAAGAAAAAAAATAAATCTCTCCAAACCAACCCAGGATGCTCAAGCAATTAAATTAAAATTCGACAAACCAGTTATGAAGCCACAATCTTCGTCCCCAGCATCTGAAGAAAATGCTATGGTCAATCTCCATTTGTGGCAGATTAAAAAATTTCCCGGACGGATTTCTCTTTTCTCCCGAAGTTAATACGTTGGGTTTTCAATTCCACCTCAACCCACTAAAAACTGAAGAAAATTTTGCGCGATTATATGCTTGAGAAAGTGATTCGGATATTTTTTTTAATGGTCTCGACATATCAACAAATTTGAGTGTCTGTTTCCAGGTACATACTGTATTGTACATTGAATGAGGTCGCGACGATTGTTTTAGCTGACGCTTGAATTGAAAATTTTTTTATCAACAGAGAATTGACTAATTCAAGAGCCTTTTCCGAAAAAGAAGAAAGAAAAATTAACTTTCGAAAGAAAAAAAACAGAATGACGCGCGTTTCGGCTACTAGAAGGCAAGCTAAAGCTATCACCTCACCACTGGCGCCGTACGACGACAAATGATTACCAAAATCCGAAGCAAGGAACGATGACGTCGTGAGTCTGCAACCCTTTCTCGTTTCTTTCAATTCTCCAGCATGAAATCGTCCATTTCATCGACATCAACGCCGTCGAAGAATTCGTTGTTACTCGGACTATGAGCTCGACAGGCGAAGAATAACACTCTCTTCAATTTCCTGTTGAACATCACGAAAGAAATAGGCGACATGAAAGTATGAAGGGGGGACTCGGGACAAACTATCCACGGGAAAAACGAGGAACACGTCTACAATAATTCGAATGATTGAAAATACTGTACTCAGAAACACGCTTCAATACTTAAGAAAAGACATATACATCTGCATTTCAGTCACTCCGTACTCCCGGTCAGGTTCGGCTGAAGATTTCAGAGCTAGTCTTTACCTGGAGACCAGGCTTAGGACATTTAATTAGGAAAAACGTTATTTTTTTCGTCATCTTAAATACCACGGATAGACTCTCAGTTGAATGCGAGTTTCGGGGTCCGGATAGTTTTCTTCAAGTTCAGAACAAAGCAGGAAGATTGTGGAATAGAAGTTCTCGTGTATTTCATTTGTGCATGAATCTTGCGTGTATCCTCAACTCCTAAAGCGTACGAACGACACGATTTTCTGAATATCATGCAGAAATTTTCTCAATCTCCAGCCTAATTGATTCAACTTACTCTAACACAAAAAGCGTAACAAAATTCAGGCACCGAGGGGTTTAACCAAAGAAAGTAACACCCTTGAGCATCACCAGATAGACTAAAAGTACTGTTTTGAGTAGTACAGTGGGACCTTGGGCAACGAACCAAGTCGATTCCAGTGGTTAGGCTGTTGCTCAAAGCGTTCTTTATACAAGGCACAGTTTCCAATAAGAACCTACAGGTAATCATTAAATTGGTTCCAGATAGAAAAACTATTAAGGTAAAATGAAGAATATGAGGATAAAATACAGTAATTTAAAACGAGAATACGAAGAAAAATTGGTAACTTAAAAGTGTTGAATGATAAGTATGAAAAAGGCCTAAAAAAAAAAAAAGTTACCAAGTATTTTCCAGCCAGTTCTTCAATCCCCTTTGTTTCTTTGGGCGCGGTAAAACCGGTAAAGCCGGCTAAAACCTCCCGCGTGGTTTTCGTCCTGGTTGATCTTCCGTACGCCCTTGGGCGTATGGACCCGATGGGAAGACGGCAGAAAATCGCTGACCAACCAGCTCAAGTCTTTTGTCACTTATTGAAACGGGCGGCGGTTTTCCATGAATTTTAAATCAAATTAATTTTTGAAACTTTCCGAATTTTTTTCTTCCCTTCTCAATTAAATCAAATTTATTTTCTGGGTGGGGGGGGGGGGGGGGGGCGACAAATCGAATAAAAAGGGTATTACAGGGCTCGGAAATATTTAATGGTGAAACGCCTCAGTCCCGCTACTTTTTTCTGGGGCATTGTTTCCAAGAAGATCATCCCTTCAAAAAAGGATTACGGTCCCGCCGAGAGTAGCAAGGGGTGAATTTGTTTGAATTCATTCTGGCGGGGATTCTTACACATGCGTCATTATTTTTGCTCATGCTGGTGGTATGGAGTCACCACCAAATTTGACCAATCTTCGTAGTATTGTACTTTTAAAAACATGCAAGATTAGATAAAAATTTCCTCACGATATTTCTGTAATTTCCCTTTGAATGGAAGCGTTTTATTCAAATTTCCGGTTCCCTTAGGAGGGAATACAGTACATGATATTGTCAGGAAAACGTAGAACTGTCTCCATTTTTAGAATGTTATGAAATTTATTGAGGCATGATCCTTAGTTCCTCGTCTAAGTCATAATGGCGGCCGAACCTGGGTTTGTTACGTGAGTTGTTTGTTGCTTAGGGCATTCGTTGCTCTAGGAACCACTGTGTATATTGTAATCCTGCACTCACCTATTGTAAAAGAAGTAGTTGAAGGACCAGAGACAACCTTCTTCTCCAAACGGATCCGAGCACAAATCCGGGTTGTAGCTGTAAACTTCGCAATCACTCATCTGAATCTCTCTGTCGATCGCGTTCCAAACGGCGTCCCTGATCGGGCAATAGACAGCCGCCATAGTCGCATTCATAGTCGTGTCCACCGAAGACATCACGAACGACGGCGAAGGTTCTCTGCTAAACTCTTCCGACTTGGCCTCCGAAAAGTCGTAATCCGGACTGAAACTCGCGTTCAGCGTCGCCTTCAGATAGCACAACGTACGCTTGCTAATGGCGTCGCAAAGGACGCCGCCGCAAGCGTTGTCTTCAGACGCTGATCCAGAGTCGCCGGACGCATGGTGCTGTCTAGTTCCGGGGCTGGACGAGATGAATGTTGCCGAGGCGGGCGGAGAAAGGGCCTGCAGGTCTCGTGGGCTTCCTTCGGAAATCATTCGCTTGTACAAGTGCTTGTCCGGGCCGACCATCTTGCACGAATAACTCTCAATGCGGGCAGAGATCTTGACTTCGCCTATTACGTTTGCCGACAGCGCATTATTAAGGGCCTCAAGAAGACAATTTTCCAGAAGCTTCATTTTGACAAGTATTAATAGATACGTCTCATGAAAAAAAGGCAAGCAAGATTTTTTCTTTTTCAACGACGAAGACTTCTGCAACAACTCAGACTCCGCAGACTTCTAAATTTCGACGTCGGTGACTTGATCTTGCGTCTTCTGATCGGACGAGGTACGCCGTCTTCCCATCGGGAAGAATCCGTGACGAGAGGCATATCGAAGACTACGTTTCAGGCTTCCGGCGCCACCAACTTTGAACGAATTCCTTCGTTGCTCCTTTCGTTTTCCCGAATGTTTTTTTTTTCCTCACGCGTCAGAAGATTTATATATTTAAGAATCAGGTTCGCTTCGAAATTTCCACAAGTTCTCGTTTTGTCACAAACCCATTCGCACCTGGAAGAAAGAGACCAACCCTTTATTCCACGAAGAATGACTGTGTATAGAACGATTAAATCCACATCATGGCAATGTTCCATAAGACAGTTGTTGCAAAATCTCCACCAAAATAAACATTCTCACCACAACAGTAAAAAAGGTCTTTACAAATAAACAGGAAACCTTTTAAATGGAATACACGTTGATCGATTGGATTGTTAACACAGTATGTACACAGACATTTTGCAGAGCAAAATGAATGCAGTAACTCGCGAAACAACCGTGGAAGCGTTGAAAACGAATCATGGATCAAACCCATCGTGAAACATTGTTCTCAATAACTATTCAAGTATCACATCGGCCTTTCACGCAATTCCTTCGCAAACCGATGTTTAGAGCTTGGGATTCGAAGTGGACTTTCATAACACCAACAGCTTCATTTGTAGCTTTCGAAGCAAGGTTCGTTCACTGGAGAAATCGATGCTGCAGGAGTTCTTCTGTAGAGGCCCGATCCCAGGGAGAACGAACCAAACATCGCTGCAGAAAAATAATACCGCGCATCAATTGAAAAATCGCATAGACCAATGAAAATGAGAACAGTACATGTTAGACCATTGAACATGAGAACAGTAAATGTTTGTCAGCGATACCGACCTGGAATGTGTGAACAAATGTTGCTTTATAATGAAATACTGTACTATGAATTTTCATTCTCTCTTTAGCAGTCCCTTTGTATTTTTCTTTCAAATATTTTTAAATTTGTAAAAATCTATACAGTATTGTATACAGTGCTTTACTGTACTATAGTTACATCAAATCATATGCTCCTGTGTGCACAAGAGCACACGGGGCTGACTGCTGAGTATCAATTGGGATTCTAAAATAATAATGCGGATCAATCTGTTGTTGAATTTCTTCTGCTTTGAGCGATTTTTTTCAACATTCACGGAGTTATCCATAATTTAAATGCGCTTCCGCTCGTGTTTCATTCAAAATTTGAAAATATCATAAAAGATATATACTGTATCACATCGAAAAATCCGAATTACACTACAGCAACTTTCCAGATGCCCTAAATTTCTGAATACTGGAATGTATCACTAAGAATGATTTGACATTTTCTACGCAAATGACACACCGTACTCGAGACATGGATTACTTTTTGCAAATTTTCGGAATACTTACTCGTAGCACGTCAGCAACGTCACTTTCACAACTTTTTCCACTCGGTGGGATAGGGATAAGATGATTAGGATTGCAAATGGCCTTTTCTTTGTCCGATATTTTCACAATATGTCCGAATGGTGGCATTCCAAAAACCATGAGGTAGAGGATACATCCAAGCGACCAAACGTCACTTTTGATTCCAATCTATAACAAAAAGCATGATTAATAGGCAGGAAGGCCTTAATTCTTGCTGCTCTCAGTATGTATCAGAGATTTCAGACAACCAAAATGAAGAGTTGAGAAAATTTTTAAAAATGCCAAAAAATTTTTTACAATCGTCGAGCGCCTTCATTAAATCATTCGAAGTCAAGACAATGTTCGCAAGGCTAAACTGACCTTAATCGCGGCTTCTCCATCTCCGTCATACGCGACTTCAGATATGGCTTCGGGACTAATAAAATTATAGGTTCCTGCTTTGCCGAGCCGCGTAACTTTGGTTACGTCTGGACGAAGCGAGGAAGCAATGCCAAAGTCGATGAGTTTCAACTTGCCAAAAACCATCAAAAAATTCCCGGGCTTTAGATCTGAATGAATGATACCTGTTGAAAAGTGAGACAAAACTTGGATATAGATATTCAAAATGTTTGAATATCTCACACTAGGATGACCAATCTCGCCAAGATGCCTTAACTTTAATCAATTGAAATGTTATCAAAATTAATAAAAAGATCACTTTTTCAAGAGAAGAAAATGCGACTAAACTCACCAGCGGCATGTATTTCCTTAACGGCTGACAACATTTGCCACCATAAATATTTGATTTCTAGGCGATGCAATTTTCCCTTACTTTGTTGCAGATAAACACCGAAATCCAACTCTCCTCTCTCCAAAACCACGTACAAGATATTCTCTTGCTCCTTTAATTCACTGAAAAATGATGCAAAAGTTAGGAGAACATTTCGAGGATTCAATTACAAAAACTTACTACTCAATAAGTTTCACGATTCGGGATGAATGTTGTAACTTCGATAGAATCATAACTTCATTCCGGTGTTCTGCAGCAAATTCTGGTTCCAATCCTTGGAGATCCACAACTTTAATGGCAACGCACAAGCCATTAGAATCCGTTGCCTGTGGGAAACTCAAACGAATAAATAGCCAATAGGGTACATTTATTCCTCACTTCTGCCCGGTCATGCATCAAATCCAAAACATTTCACTGCCCAGACATGAATCTTAAATTATTCCTATTCTCCGTTTAAAACTGCTTCGCCGGCTAAAATTAAATCAATGAACAATTTAAAATCTGATTCAAAGTAAAGGTACACGCACATAAATTCAATAGGTCAGAAATATTTTCTACTGGGTTGCCCAGAAAATGTTGGACCGGCATTCAAGAAACCATTAAAAAAGTATGGAACAAAATAAAAACTGAATTTACGCTTTAATTGAAGTTTATTTTGATAGCTTTTGAATAATTTTTGTTTCATATTTTCCCTGATGAAGAGAAAAACTGCTAGCATACCTCATAAACTTTACAGGATCCTCCACGACCAATGAACTTCATTCCAACATAGAAATGTCCATTGATTTCTACTCCCATAGGAGGGCTTGCACCGATGAACGAGCTTGAGGGGAGACCCTTGGTTCCACTAGCCATGAAGAGGAAAGGTCGACTCGCCGAGTAGTTCCTACTAGGCTGAGAAGGAGTTCGAAAATGTTCCTGTCCATGGAATATTCCCGGAACATGCGGAGCTGGACTTGGGGCGAAGGTTCGCGTATTTCGTAGGTTTTGTCCAAATGCTGATTTGTGAGGCAACAGAGAGCCGTGCTTTTCTTGTAGGGGTAATTTTATTTGCGGGGCGGCATTTTCTTTGTCAACCTGCTTCCTATAAGATCGATGTTTCGCTTGGAACGGGGTTTCCTGGGCAGTATTTTTTACCGAGCTCAACTGCTTTGCATCGTAAGGAGTTGGAGGTAGAAGCGACCTCTTGGCTGAAACCGCCTGAAAAAAAGTCGACGTATGTTCTCAATCAGAATACGAGGAAAAATTTCACAATAAAATTGCTGCACACAATTTCAAGGCATTTACAATACTATACAGTACCACGAAATTTTGGTCCATACATTTCGGGACAAAAAAAGAAACACTCATTTCTTAATTTTGGGGTTGTATGTGTGAAAATTGGCTTCATCAGTCAAGTGAGCTAGAATTTTCCCGCGTCATGGAAGCAAACGGGGAAACGTCTGAGCAAATAAAAAATAATAGCTCCGATCTTATCGACTGATAGTGATAGGCGAAATTCTGACAAAGGAGTTGGGGTACCCAAAAGGGCTTTCCCCCTCGATGAACTTTCATAAAAACTTCCGAACCACAATTAGTTCACTTCTCATGAAGTTTGAAACATACAATACTTACATGGCTATCTATCCATTCTCTGAAGACATGTCCAGGTTTTGTCGACGGCTTCCCGAAGTCAAGATCTTTGGAGCAATCCGTCGATACCTTCGGACTCAGATTTGGTGTCGAAACAGATCGTTTCTTCCGAAGCGTTTCTAGCTTATTTGGAGTCAAGATCACATGCTCCACGTAATCCCCAGCACCCTTTGATTTACTCTGATTACTCTTGTAAAGACAAAAGGAATCCACAATGGAATGGCGTGAACCGTGCCGAAAACGGGCACTAAGTTTATCTACTTCTTTCTGGTTCAACAGTTCTGGGCAAAGTTCTTCGTTAGACTGATTCCCACTTTCCTCGGAATCCGATGAACTGCGAAACGTTGCAGAAGAGGTGAAAACTTTAACATCGGGTTCTGCTGAAGTATTCTCACGGTGGAAATATTTTTCCCCTGGAACTGTTGAGAAGATCTCGTTCGGCGAAGATTTCTCTGATTGTATACCACCATCGACTGCGTCTTCCTTAGGCTGCTGACACTTTTCAGCAAATTCCGCGTCTTCATCGTCGTCAGAATCATCTGAATTGCCGGTGGTCCACACAGGACGACGTGGTTTCCTGAGGAAAAAAATGGTGTCGATTTTTCAGCATTAAAATAATGTTAAAAATGTACAGAAAAATTGAACTGACACAAGCTGAAAATAAGTTGCTCGATTGCAACTTTGTTCTTCACGCGAAATACAGAAAACTGCTAACGAACATTTAAATTGAGAAACTTTGATGTACTGTACTCGATAAATTACTAAATATTGAATCATGATGAATCCCCCTCTTCAACTGCTGAAAGTACAGAATTTCGCTCACTAGACATCAGCTAGTTTTGTGATAAGTTTTTTTTTTTACCACCTCTTTCTCTCGTATTCGACATGACAAACGGTCGAAATTTCCACGTTTGACAATATGCCATTTTTTCACAACGATTTTTTGAGAAGGGTACTCACGCGATGAGGTCGTGAGCCATGCCACAACAACTTGCAAAAAGCACCCTGAAGTTGAGAAGAGGAGATCGCGAGATTTCACATATAAAAATACGGAACACTTCGTTTTCCCTCGAAAATACCTAATAGAAGATAAAGCTAAAATTTTAAAAGCGAATCGAAAGCAACAAACATAAAAATTCAGAGAACAAAACTATGTACTGAGCAACCCGAATCAGCTCATTAATGCCAACACTGCACCGAAGCCACAGCATTTACCACAGAAAGAACACACGAATACCTTCGCATACTATGGATAAAACCTAGCCCCCAACAAGCAATTATCACAAAGGCCACACATTGCACATAAAATCATCGATTCAACTTTCCCAGAACACGATACGCATAAGGCACGACAGTTTTCCAATGAAACATATCCGCACTCGCTTTGAACTATGAATGATCGCAGCTTCTTGACTCAGCAATTTTAACAACATTCTTGCCATCTGAATTAAAATGCATCAATGGTTGAAAAAATCCAGTTTGTCGAACAATTCGATTAAAATTACGTCCTCTCGTGAATCACCTCTTTATCGGTAACCTTCAATAGTGAACCATCCTTTCGACACTAAGCTTTTTTTTTTTAAGAGTGCGCCACGTCTTCAACATGAATTAAAGATCAGAAGGGGGGAAAATCTTGCTACCCGTTGAGAACATTTCGGCAAGAACCGATAACCGTAATGAAAATTCAAAAATATTCCCGCGATCAATTCGGCGGCGGTGGCGTAGAGAGGGGAGACAAACTCGGCTCAGAAACCCTATCTTGACAATCGATTGGATCGCATGCGAGCAACTGAGCAAGATCAGTGAACTCCGGGGTCGGAGTGGAAATCTGATCATCAGCTGTGCAGAGTGGAATAGTAGCATTGTAGCACGAACACGTCACACCGCAAACCGCAGCAATCTGAGACAGTTCGATTTGGGGTCTATGTCTAAGTTTTAAGTGGGACTTGAGGGCCGATTTAGTGGTGAAACTTTTCTGACACGGCTTCTCTAAAGATTCTGCTCGAGGACACTCGAACGGCTTTTCTCCAGTATGAATCCTGTAATGAACCTTCAAATGATGACTGGCTGTGAATGCTTTTTCGCATCCTTGTTCCCCGCACCTAGAAAAAATTTCCATGAGGAAACTTGAAGATTCTGACATTATTACGATTCATACTTGAATGGTCTCTCTCCGGTATGGATGCGCGAGTGTTTCTTCAAATCCGAAAAAGTCGTGAAAAATTTCAAACAGCCCGCTGACCTACACCGAAAAGTGTCTCCGTTATGCAGCCTTTGATGCGCTTTCAGTCTAAAATCAAGAAAACATTCATCGGAATTTTAAAGATAGTCACACGTAATTTAGGAAACAATACCTTCACTTGAGCTCACCTGTAGCGAGTTGAAAACGCTTTCGCACAACCAGTAATGTCGCATTCAAAGGGCTTCTGATTCGTATGCACACGGATATGAACTTTCAAGGAATACGATGACAAAAACGTTTTTCCACATCCGGACTCTGAGCATATGAAGCTATACTCTCCTGCAAGGAGAAGAACGTAAAACAATTTTTTTTCAATTCAACTGTATCACAAACCCGTATGTCGTTTTTGATGAGTTCGGAGATTCCCCATCGTACTGTACGCCCGCGCACATCCGTCGTAATCACAGCGGAACTGCTTGCGGCAGATTTCCTTGGTTTCTGGATCTCGGGCATGAACCGTTATGGTTGCGTGAGAGGGTGTTCCAGAAAGCCACGACGAATTCGAACCCGGGTTGAAATCCATGCGGATCTGATTTTCCGTAATTGTGTGGGATATGTAACCCCTGTCCCCATCGTCAAACGCGAACCTCACGTCCATCTTTACAGTGCACATTCACTCTATGAGAATACTGAAAAAAGGTAACAGGCGCATTACTTGAGTTCCTTAACGCACTCCGATTTCGAATTCTTCCGATGCTTCTGAAGCCGAACGAATATGAAAAAAATGAATTTAGTGATTGAAGAGCAGTTAACTTCCGTTGCTTGCTATCCATCGCTTAAAACCTCAACAACCCGTGGATGCTCATAGCATGGTCACATTATTCTTCAAGAAACGCTTCAAAAACGAAAGCCCATTGTTTCAATTCGGATGTCACATATACTTCATTCTACCGAATACAATTATGGGAATGGAAAATTATTCAGCATTTTCAGAAAAACTTCTGTTTTACCGTTTTATGAATCATACTCCTAGTTCCCTTTCTCATTTCTCAACCAATACAGTACAGTGCAGTACAGAATCCATCCCCACACGCTGAGTGCTGAAGATAACGCCCATGCGAAGGATCACGGTCACTGTGTCGGTGTCCGAAGCTTTTTTCATTGTGGATGGAGTCATCCTTGTGACTAGTGCGATTATTCATAGCTGGTAAAATGTGGACTTGGTACAAATCCATTGTGACTGTAAGTCCTCTACCATTTCAAATCAAGACGCATCACTTTTTCATCAGCCGCTCAATCATTCCACGAATGACTTGTTTGCTCCTAAGATGTTCTTAAAGCGTTTATCAAGTTAGCCAGTTCATTAATTTGTGATCGACTAGATTTCGGAATAATGTGCGTGCCGAATCGTTTTCTTTTTTTTTTTTTCAAGACGTTCTTGCGCACCTTACGTCAGGATGATCGCGATAACTGAAGATGACGTGTCTTAGTGGAATCTAAAAACGTCCCATTTTCTGGGCGATCCAGCCCTCTAAACGCGCAGCGAACTTCGTTGTTCAGTGGAAATGATCTTGAAGGTTTTGTTGGCGGAATCTATAATGAGAGTGGTCGGACTTTTTTTACGAGTCGGAAAATAGTTTAGACTGAAATGCGGATCGAATGGAACTTGAAGGGAGGTTATTTTTGATGTTTCATATCCCAAAATTTTACAGGTCGATTTTATTCCCTTACTCCCGAAGCCGTTTACTCGTGCGTTGAATTACTGATCCTGCTTACTGGTCGTCAATACTAACATAAATCCAGCACATTTCTGTCGCTTCAAAACGAGTCGAAAACGCAATTTCTCCGATATGTCCGGCCATGGAGGAAGTGGGCCTTCTGGTGCAGCCGGTGGCAGCAGTCAACCTCAAGAGTAAGATTTTGTTTTCCCTTCAAGGACGCTTGAACAATCACACCCTCTTTTTCAGTTCTGAAGATTTAGCTACTGCGATCTTGAAAAACAAAGCCCGGCCAAACCGGCTCTTGGTGGAAGACGCTATCAATGATGATAACTCCGTCGTTGCGCTTGCACAAGTATGTTTGATGTATTTTAGCACATCTCATTCCACTGAATTTTCACGCTGTTCACAGGCGAAGATGGACGAACTTCAACTGTTCCGTGGTGACACAGTATTGCTTAAGGGCAAGAAACGGAAGTCCGCCGTGTGCATAGTCCTGTCAGATGAGACATGTCCTGCGGAGAAGATTCGTATGAATCGGGTCACTCGGAACAATCTGAGAGTACGTTTGGGAGATATCGTGTCCATCCAACCCTGTCCGGATGTGAAGTACGGCAAGAGGGTCCACATCCTTCCCATCGATGACACCGTTGAAGGCCTTACAGGGTAGGTTTTTTCTTTATCCGACTTGGGATTTCACGCGCGGTACAATTTATTTCGATTTATTTCGCAGGAGTTTATTCGATGTCTACTTGAAACCGTATTTTTTGGAGGCCTATCGCCCGATTCATAAGGGAGATATTTTCATGGTTCGCGGTGGCATGCGTGCTGTGGAATTCAAAGTTGTGGATCTTGACCCGTCTCCGTACTGCATCGTAGCCCCGGACACAGTTATTCATTGCGAAGGCGAACCCATTAAGAGAGAAGTAAGTACAGATTATTTTTCGAATCGCTCAAGATTCGATCTTATTGATTTTCCTTGCAGGAAGAAGAGGAAGCTCTGAATGAGGTCGGATACGAAGATATTGGAGGTTGTCGCAAGCAGCTTGCACAAATTAAGGAAATGGTGGAGCTCCCACTCAGACACCCGTCTCTTTTCAAAGCAATTGGCGTGAAGCCGCCGCGAGGAATTCTGCTGTATGGACCGCCAGGGACTGGAAAGACTTTGATTGCTCGTGCTGTTGCGAATGAAACTGGCGCGTTCTTCATCCTCATCAATGGTCCTGTAAGTTTATTTTTGAGATCTATAAATCATCTCGTTTTCATTCGACGTTCTGTTGTGCCTGAAGAAATGCGTTTATTTCAGAATTCCATTTCTGCCAAATTTTGTACTAGCGCACTTCGCGGAAATGTTCTAAGAGGCTGATTCATCTCCTCTCGCTCTTTTATTTTTATTAGGTCGCTTTGTTTTATCTTCAATGTCAGATTTCCACTGCCTTCTCACAGTACTTCTCATTTCTCGCTCATACATGTAGTTGACTTTTAGTAGTCAGCCTCGGTTTGTTACATAAGGTCATGAGCTACCAACGTTCTATTGCAATAGCGTGAAAGGTGACGGTTGATCGATCTGCAACACGGGTCATTGGTTTAATTTCACGGAGGGATTTCGATGTTCATATTTAATTTTGTTCTAGGAAATCATGAGCAAATTAGCTGGAGAGTCCGAATCCAACCTGCGCAAAGCCTTCGAAGAAGCGGAGAAGAACCCACCGGCCATCATCTTCATCGACGAATTGGATGCGATTGCGCCAAAGCGAGACAAGACGCATGGAGAAGTTGAGCGCAGGATCGTGAGCCAGTTGCTCACCTTGATGGACGGATTGAAACAGAGATCTCATGTGATAGTGATGGCCGCCACGAATCGACCCAATTCGATTGATGCCGCCTTGCGTCGATTCGGCCGCTTCGATCGCGAAGTGGACATCGGCATCCCGGATGCAACTGGTCGGCTCGAAGTTCTCCGCATACATACCAAAAACATGAAATTGGGAGATGACGTCGATCTGGAGGTACATTATTAACGTTCTTCCTACGATTTTCGAGCGACAGCCTATTTTTCCAACATATGTAGTAGTCGACTTCTCACCAACCCCTTTCAGCAACCCCTTATAATTTCTGCTGATGGACTTCTTTCCACGCGTCATTTAGTCGGTAAATTCGTCGTTCATTCGAAGCTTATCAGTTGATCGACGAAAATTTGTTTTTAAAACTGAGATGGAGCAAAAATGCGCTTCATGAAACGTTACTGACCCAAAGGATCACATAAGTAGCAAATTTTTCCTGTGTTGAAGCTTAAGTTCTGAAGTCTAACCGTCTTGTCTGCAGATGATTGCTGCTGAAACACACGGTTACGTCGGTGCCGACTTGGCTGCTCTGTGTTCTGAAGCTGCATTGCAACAAATCCGTGAGAAAATGGACTTGATCGACTTGGAAGACGAACAAATCGATGCAGAGGTATTGTTTTAATCATTTTTGTCGTGTACGAATTATACGAACACTTATTTTTTTTTAGGTTTTGAACTCATTGGCCGTGTCTATGGAGAACTTCAGGTTCGCCATGGGCAAAAGCAGTCCATCTGCCCTGCGTGAAACAGTTGTGGAGGTGCCCAATGTTACATGGACCGATATTGGTGGATTGGACAGTGTCAAGAGAGAGTTGCAGGAGCTTATCCAGGTACAGTACTACTAATGCTGGCTATTGACTAAGTCTATAAGTTTGATTCATAGTTACATAACCTCCTGTAAGTGCAGCACAAGTTATCCTCCTCTACCCGTTTAACTCCCAATTATTTTTAAAAACGAATAATTGGGATATTTTTTTCAACGCGAAATTTAACTTTAATATTATTTTCCAGTACCCTGTGGAGCATCCGGAGAAGTTCCTCAAGTTTGGCATGAGTCCGAGTCGTGGGGTTTTGTTCTACGGCCCTCCGGGTTGTGGTAAAACGTTACTTGCGAAGGCCATTGCTAATGAGTGTCAGGCAAACTTCATTTCCATCAAGGGTCCTGAACTTTTGACGATGTGGTTCGGCGAGTCTGAGGCCAACGTGCGCGACGTTTTCGATAAGGTAAGCAATTCGTGTTTCCTCTATAGGTTTTTATTTCATCCTGCATACAGAAATAATACTGTACAGTAAACTTCCGTTGCAATAGATTGACTCCTTTGAATCATTCGGGGGTTTTTCAATGAATTCTGTAGTCCGTAGCTAAAAAAAATTGCCATGATTTTTACGAATGACGTGTATGCCGCTTTTATTTTTCTAATTCTCGAGTTTATCGGATTTTCTTGGATCGAGTTCCACGGTGTCGAAGTGTTACACGAATTTTGCATCTTCGCATTCCTTTTTAATGCCCTTGTCATGCGTATCCTCGTACAGTTCGTGCTTACATGTGAAATTTTCACAGGCTCGTGCAGCAGCGCCGTGTGTGCTTTTCTTCGACGAGTTGGATTCCATCGCCAAGTCTCGCGGTGGAAACGTTGGTGATGCTGGAGGAGCTGCAGACAGAGTGATCAACCAGATTCTAACGGAAATGGATGGTATGGGTTCCAAGAAGAACGTTTTCATTATCGGAGCCACGAACAGACCTGGTATGTTCAAGGAATTCCCCCAATATATATTTTTTAGTTTGTCGTGTAATCCTTGGGTTTGTTTAATCAGACATCATTGACCCCGCCATTTTGCGACCTGGCCGTCTGGATCAGCTGATCTACATTCCGTTGCCTGATGAAAAGTCTCGTATTTCTGTGCTGAAAGCCAACTTAAGGAAAACTCCTCTTGCCAAGGTTTGTTTTTTGCGTTATTCGTTGGTATGAAGCATCGCGGATATTATGAATTTTAAAAAAATTATTCAACTTCAATAATGGATGTTAAATGAGTTGAGTGATTTGTTCTCAGAACCTAGTTATGTTAAGTTCATACTGTATTCGGTTTTTTTTTTTTTACTTGTACTCGCCATGTCAATCGAACGTAGTAGGGTCCACTATCTGAAGCAAAATTCGACAGTCCGCATGCATTTCTCGAGAAATTCATGGCGTTTCTATTAATTCAGATACCACTGTACTGTATTGCTTTGTCGTGGATTCTAAATAAATTTAACAGTAGTTGAATGAAGGCCAGTATGTGGATTTTCCCATGGTAATGATTTTTTAACGTCACTCTTCAGGACGTGGATTTGAACTTCATCGCCAAGATGTCGAACGGATTCTCTGGTGCAGATTTGACGGAAATTTGCCAGAGGGCCTGCAAATTGGCGATCCGGGAATCCATTGAAGCGGAAATTCGTAAGGAAAAGGAAAGGATGCAGAATCCGTCTGCCATGGAAGTGAGTTCGTCGATCATCTCATATCTTTCCCTGTTCTAAACTTCTCATTATCGTCCTTCTTAGATGGAAGTTGAGGATGATCCTGTACCTGAAGTCACGAAACACTATTTTGAGGAAGCGATGAAGTTCGCTCGTCGTTCAGTCACGGACAATGATATCCGCCGCTACGAGATGTTTGCCCAGACTTTGCAGCAATCTCGCGGTTTTGGCAACTTCAGGTACATTTTAATGATTATTCTACTTCTGTTAATTGGTTTCGCCTGTAGGTTCATGAACTCCATGCCCGTTCATATTTTTTTTGTTCAGGCAATGTAAAATCAGCGTTGAAATTGATAGCTGATCTTTCAGCTGTCTATGAATAATTAAATTAGCTGTACTTTTATTTTTTAAAGCAATGAAACGCTTTGCTTAGCTACACGGTCTTTTGTTGAACTAACCCCCGATCAAACTTCATTTCAGATTTCCGGATAGCGCTAGTTCTCAGGCAGGCGGTGCCGCCGGGCCTGGAGGAGCAGGCGGCTCTAATTTCCAGGACGATGAGGACGACTTGTACAACTGAAAGCTTCAGAAATTGTGAAGAGAGTGAGGGGCTCGAGTGGGATTCTTGATAGCTTCAATTTGTTTTCGCTGGAAAGAAAAGGGGGCAAGAAAGGATCGATGAAACGAAATTCGAGGGGGGGTGAAAATAAGATAGGCGTCTCTTGAGAGCGACGTGTGTCTGGATCGTGTACATACAGTTAACGTAATTCCTGGCGATGGTGATTTCAGTCTAGACTACGACGGGTTTTCTGTCATCAGTTTTTTTTTTTTTTTTTTCATCGTAGTCTGCCCCCGGTTTGATTTTTGTTCGAATGTCTTTAGTTATTGTGTTGTGTAGGCGGGAATGAGTACTTCTGTGCATTCGATGCAATCTTCGGCACGCGAGATTTGTTTCTTTTTGTGTCTTCTGCTGTCGTTGGCGTATCTGTTCATAAGTCCCTGTGCTCTCATTGTACAAGGCGCGATTCTGAAGCGAATAAAAAAAATGCGGTCCAGAAAGTTGTTCCGTGTTATTTCTTGTTTTCTACATCCCATCCGAGGATTCAACCCTGAAAAGGTAGTAGTCCGAACTGGGTTTGGCAAATTTCAGTACAGTACTGTAGTCATGTTTTGAAAACGACTGCATTGCGGAATTTGTTTAATCATGTGTCATTTACTCAGTCGATTTCCTATGAAGTACGTTACAGTACTGTACGTTCAAAAATCAATTCGCCTTACTAGTCTCATTCATCACCATCACGTCGGAATTTCGGATATAAAAATTCACTCGAAATTGTAGCACCGGAATTCATTTTAGCAAAAAATTCTGGGCTCAAGACATTCAATATTACACTGCAAAGCCCAATTTGGCGATGGTGCCAAAAATGACATTTGAATCCGCAATGAAATTTTTTTAATCCCTTCATCAGCATATATGCAGTCTATTATTGTGCAGAATATGTATTAGGCGCGTGGTTTCTCAGCGATTATGAAGCATTTGGGTTTACTTTCTGCTGCCCTTGAAAAGATTCGGTACCCGACGAAGAACGTTATTATACTGAGAACAGTATTATAAAACCTGTCGAAGCAGCCTGTGTTTTTCAGACACGCATGTGATTACGGATCACCTTTGCGCCTCAAGAAGAGAATAAACTGCACATTTATACAGCCGTAGCAGTTGCAAACTTTTTTCCAAACTTGCATTACCACAAAGAACGATACAAAACAGCAAATCAACGCATCCTCTGTCCACCCTCACAAGAAAGCAATATTCTTCAGAAAAGATCCGTGACCCGCGAACACTCCAACAGAACATCCGTGATCTCATCAATGGTCAATCCGGTCCTCTTCGTCACCTCCAATTTCTCCGTCAAAGGCAAGTGCAAATACTTGAACACCACGTTGCCGTCCACAATGTTCTTTGCCGGATTCACAATGCCCGCAGGACCCCGTCTTCCCGCCAATCGATGAATTCGATGGCTCTTGGGATTCAACCCGGCCATGTGTGGCATGAAAGTGTGAAGTACGTTCTGGATGCTCATTAGAACCCTGTATTGCACTTCATGCAACGGTAGGACCCAACCGATACTCCCGTCCAATGTGCAGTACCAAGTGACTTGTCGTCTGTCACCGAACTTCGGTGGTCTCAGGCAACCACTAGGGTCCATGACCTAAAATGATACCGCAATTAAACCTCTGAACTTCGTGCACAAAAACTTTTAATCCATTACTATACTTGCCACTATCCCATTTTTGGGACGCTTAGATGACAAAAATGGCTCTTCAAAAGCGAATCTTCAATGAATTTCCACTGCCTATAGAGGCAATTTTAAACTAAAATGTTTTCCAATGCCTTATTCCCAGAGGTGCTCTAAACATGAGTATTTTTGGACTTTCCAAATTGACAAATAAGTTTCTAATATGGCAACTGCAAGGAAAGTGAACTTCAAAGTTTGATTGTGCTTCTTGAATTTGGAGAGTTCCAGGAGTGTTCCCCAGAAAGTTTGTGATCAAGGAAATTTTTATTTCATTTTTTGCCCGCCTTGATTTTGGTGCCTCATTTCTGGGACGGAGGCAGAATGAGCTTGAAGTAATGGGTCGATACAATTAATTCAGAACACTCAACGGGCTATTACTACATGAACAAGGAACAAAAGTTGAAAGAGAATTGAAAAAGGCTTGCAACATTGCACAAACAATACTCCGTCCCGCTGACAGAAGCTCCAGATTACCGAAAAAGTTTAAGTGCGAAAAATGAAACGGGAATGAGTACCGAAAATACTTCATGCGGTTGATAAAATGAAAAAACACGTTTTCATGGATTTGATCGTTAAAAAATCCGCTTACTTTAGCCTTGATCCTCAGCATATGGTTCACGTTGCTTCCCAAGTGGAAGTCCGCCCTTCTGACAAGCCTCGGCACTCCACTGGTTTCTCTGGCTTCCGGATGATAGCCGTAAATAGATAAATTACGATTCCTGTCAGTCACAACGAATCCCAGTGCTTTATCGCAAACGGCAAACTCGGCTCCGAAAACTTCCAGCGGAGTCATATCCCGTCCAATCACGCAGATCGTCCGATGACTTTCTTGGTACTAAAAAAAAAAAAAACTCCATGAACTCATATTTCAAATTTTTCTGATATGAGTCAATTTTTGAAAATAAAACCAACCTGCAAGAGCGTTATGGACTTGAACATATCCCCGACGAGAATGAAGTTCTTCAAGCACAATAGCTGATGTGTGTAAATTTGGGTGTCGATGAAAGCGATTCCTACCAAATCCGCGTCTTTCAATTGCCATAGATAAATTTTCTGGCCGATCGCAGACACCAGAAGGCCTTGCACGGCAGCGATTGCAGTCACTGGTCCCTTCTGCTCTTTCCCATAAAGTTGTTTCATCTTGTTTTTTGTTAAAGGTCTTCCGGGCTCAGGAACCACTTCCAACACGTCCATGATAAGTATCCTTCCCTTGCACGTGATGTCTTCGCCATAGATGTAATTTGTTGCTATCGCAATATAACCCTGGTCACAAAAATAAAAGCGATTAGAAAATAAAGAGAAAAATCAGAACTGCATAACGTTGAACGTGACTGCGTCAAGATGGGAAAACATCCCGACACAAATAAACCTTTTCCTTACAAGCATCCAATTATTCCTCGTTTTGCTCAATGAATTTGATTAATGGTTAGAAACAATAAAAAGGAATCCAAAGACGTGATGAACTATTCAAGAATTACATGAAGATATAATGTATTACAAATTTACAATGAAATTGTGGAAATGATTCATGAAAAAAAAACTCTTTCGTTCATTGCAGCGACCCAAAACAATGAACAGTTGTCTACAGTAAGCTGACCTGAAATGTTCAAACCGAGCTTCAGTTCCACTCACACTACCTATGTCCCCACTCAGAAATTTGCTTTTCTCTTAATTAAACGTAGTCTGAAATTTGAGACATTGGACTTGAACGGATCCAGTCCACTGACCAAGACCACCATTACATATGGTGAAATTGAAATACGGAGGAATCCTGATCCTACCTTCAGACCACTGGCGGCGCCTTCGTAAATCAAAGCCACGTTTTTCATATCCGTCACGTGCTCGTACTCATCCATGTCCACCTTCGTGTCGGGAACCACGTCCCAAGAGACGGGAGAGAATAGTTGAATGGCGAACGAGGTTACGTACGGCAACGGGAAATTCTCAGGTCGGCTCTCAATCACAGATTCCTTGTCTTCGCCATTGAAACGGTACATTTGATTCGATTCCGTTTCCGTTGACGTGGCCACAGCGTATGTTTTTGTTTCCACGTGGTACGCCAAAAACCGCGGCGTGCACTTCAACGGGACCTTTAAAGGACCAATTTATATCTTTAGTCTTCTTTCTTTCAATATATATTTTTTCCTGACAAACAGCCTTACTTACTGTGATGCAAAACAAGTGACAAATGAATCGGCATAAAAAATTAATTTTTTCACAAAAGATTGCATTGTCATCAGTTTCTAAAAAGGTGGACATGGATGAGTACGAGCACGTGACGGATATGAAAAACGTGGTAAAATGTGACTGAACTACTTAACCCCAACCTAATATAAATTCAGAAAACTGGACCTTACTAAACTTTTTCCAATTCACTCGACAACAAAATTCTGAAGAAGAAAATTCAAAGGTGTCGGACGACAAACATCGAAGTGAGAAAAGCCACGAACTTTTTCGTAGGAGGGCTACAAAAAGTACAACTACTGTACTTAGTGGATCATCAATTGTCAATTGACAAGAAGGAATCTCGTAACGACGTTGCTGTTACGAGAGCGTAAGCGACAGAAACTACGACATTGAACAACAACAATGTACTCGTATAACTTTTCGCGATCTTCTAAATTTAAAAAAAAAAAATGCCCTCGTGAATTTCTAAATCAATTCTTCTTCATAGTCTAGTTACGGTTCGGGTTATTTTCTTACATTCCTTTGACAGGAAGGCATGTCTGATCACACAAACCTTTCTCGTAGGCCACACGGTATCATAATTGAACTGTGACGGCAATAAACAAATTCTCATTTCCTGGTTCCCGTTGAAATACAGGAACCCCTTGGGGCAATTGATGTTGTCAAAGGGGGCGAAACATGTGACCGGTCCGTCGATGTTCATGGGATGAACTTTGAGGTCGCCACGTTGACCCATCATTGCCCAATGCGGATACGACCCAGCAACGAACACCCCAGAAAAACTCGCTGGCGAACCAATTTCGGAAAAATGCACAAGTTTCGATGAGGAGTACGTGCCTTTTTCTTGCTTCACCACCGGTCGCATAGCAAGATTGGCTCGAACAATGTAATCATGTTCTATCTTCCTGAATCTTACCTAAAAAATTTCAATTTTTTTAGCACAGTACATAAAACGTCGAGAAATATAAACGAAGTTCTACTCACTTTGATGTAAGGGTCGTCCAAACTCTTCCCCTCAAAAAATGGAAATGCCTCAAAAATCAACAGATCTTCTCCCACGAAAGCGAACAACATGGGTTTCAAAGACGCATTTCCTCTACAGGTCTTCGTCGATCCTAAGCCGACCACCAATATTTCCTTCGTAATGGGAACGTCGTGCACCCTGGATTCCACCCACGTGTCCGTCATCGAATTGGTCAATACGTAAGGTCCAAGCGAGAATCCACGAGCCAAGAACTTCATCGAAAAATCCGGTAAAGAATAGATTTCCAGATTTCCGTTCTGACGAGCTAGAAACACCCATTGCGTAACCAAAGGGGCATTTCCGGTCGGCCTCAAGGTTGATCCCGGTTTCCTGGCGTCTTTGAACTTTTCCATCCCGGGTAACTGCGAAACAAAGAAATTGGATCACGCAGTGAAATGCATAAAAATGTATTATTGCTCAAAGACGGAAACGGACAATTTTTTAAACAGAAATAGCCACAATGTGATCGTGGAAAAATAAACCCAATCCAACAAGAGGTGAAGCGAGATCGCCAAGAAAATAAATGTCTAAAATTGGCATCTTCTCAATTCCATGTTAAACACAAGCTAGACTCAAATTTTAAATTTAAAAAATAAAATAAAAACATTCAGCATATTTACCTGGTCGCTATCCCTATTCGAAAATGCACTCAACAAAGAAGCATCAGATTCTCCATACAGCAATTCGTCTTCGTCAATAGCGTCCTTATCCAACCCTAAGCCAGTTCCAGCTCCGGCTCCAGCGTCGGTTGCATCAGCCACGGTTCCATCCGACACCAAATCATCGACAAGGTTTGCCGTTACCCCAGGAACACCATGTGGGCCGGCAGCAGCGAACATCCCTATAAGTTAAAAAAATAAACCAATGGCAGTCAGTCATCCGAATTCCCAGCGAAAGCTTTAAAAAAAAGTAATGGAATTCGCTTTACTCCACTGGAAGACTGATTTAGGAGAATATACTGTATATGAAAAGTGTTTGAAAACTCGATCTGAATATTTTTCAAAACAGAAGAGGAATTGTATATCCGAACGCTTCCATTGCAGCATTTACAAATAAAAATAATGTAATGCTACAACCATCGTTCCAATCTGCATCTGCGTTGGATATGATCGCCTTCATTTAAAATGTTATTTAGTAAGCACTAATAATTATAATATCGAGAATAAATTACGATGCTCGCCACGTAAAAGCCGAAAAATTTTGATATATTAGATTTTATCAATAAAAAGTTGATGAGGCAACGGGAAAAATATTGTTCCGGTGCTGTGGCCGTAGAGGCAAATCAATTTTGTCACGATTACAGATACGGTTAATAGCTTACGAACGAAAGGTGAAAGGCTAAAGTTCTAATTAAAAATTAAGCATTTCAACTAACCGCTATAGTCAGTGTAGGTTGACATTGCAACAGCGCGGGACTGTTGAATGGGAAGCGCGGAAACTATATCCATGTACGCTTTGCCCTTAGGTTCCACAAGTTTCGCTAATTTCACTTCACCACCGGCTCCAAGAAGCACCACATACGGATCAGCAACTCGGGCAAGAATCACAGGATTTTTCACATCTACAGGTGCCAAATGAACCAGTTCTTTCCCTTTCAGAAGAACCATCGAAAATGCTGTCACCTAAATCATTGACGAAAGAAAAAATTAACCATTCAAAAAATAAAATCGATGGAACTCCTTCAGGAAGTCTAAAAAGTCATCGAGCGTAAGTATACAGCACTTAATTTTCAATGAATTACAAGATAGCCTGAGTTTCTTTCGAATTCAGAGTACCTATTTTGTTGTTAACAGTAATTCTTCTCAAAACGTTTCCGACAGATTTAAGAAATGCCATGCAATTTTAAATTTTCTCTAGCCCGAAAACTTTGAACTCAAGATAAGAATTTCGGAACAAATATCTTGAATTCACCTGAACAATGAACCGATTATTTCCCAAGTTACACGCATAAACCGTGGGTTTATCCAGAATGAAACCACCGGACTCCACTTCATTCAATTCCTCCCCGGTCTCCAGTACCATAGTCGTATTGGTACAACTGAGGATCAAGAAATCGTGGACTCCACTGCCTTTCTCACCAACCACGGTCCACATATCAACGCAGCCCGGCAAGGGAAAAGTCGTGATGAGCTGCCGAAAAGATTAAAATAATTGTTTAAAAAGAAATGAGAGACAGTACGATCAAGAAATTGAGTGAGTTACCTGAGGTCGTATGGAACGATGGACGATTGACAGAGAGCCTCCTTTGCCAAAACCTGAAGTCAAAAGCAGATCCAAGTCTATACGTTCGTTCGACCAGAATTCTTGCGGCAAAAACGCTGGTTGACCCAAGGACATTTTCCCGCAAGGACCAATGTTTAATAAACTGTCACAGGACTCGAAAATGTAATGAACGATCTTGCTGGCCTACGGAAGTGGAAAAAAAAACATTAAAAATGTGGGGGGGGGCGCACATTTCAAATTAGAACATACCGCCGCAGGGGCAGCAAACGTGGCGATGTTCGAAATCTGTTCCGTGATCGTTTTCTTAGAGACAGAAAGTTTTTTTCCATCAGTTTCTCCATTCTCGACCACGGTTTCCACGTCTTCAGTTGTTCCGTATATTTCGATTTCATTATCTAATTCCTCCACTCCTGTGGCCAGCCAATCAGCTAATGCATCCGATTTCTCCTTTTCCTTCTTTCGCTTTTTCTTCGAAGGCACAACTTCTTCGTCTTCTTTGGAGCCCTTGTTCTTTTTGTCCTCCTCTTTTTTCACGATATCTAATCGAACCTGAAACAAAAATTTTAATTTATCGAAAAAACGTCAAAATCTGGCTGGAATATTTTTTACAATCCAAACCGAGTACTGGAACATAACAGCTAATATTCTGTAAAAGAGGACAGCGAATTCATGGGATAATACAGTAAATTTATTATCCTGTATCAATCACTCATACTACGCCAGCAAAAAATAACTGCAATTCTACGACGCACACTAACTAACCTGATCTCGTGGCATGTATCGAAGCAACTGCGAGTTTCCCAGTCGCGAACCAAGGAATAAATATCCGTCTTCCACGGGAGAAACGCAAGTCGCCATCACCGCCGTGGCAGCTTTGTCCAAGTGGAATCCACGCACGGACAGCATTCCATCCGACACGAGAGTCAACACCCAAATGTCTCCACTGGCCACACTAACCACCATCACGTCGGGCTCCTTTACAACAGCAACCCGTGCACAGTCGAATGTCAAACTGACTCCTTCTTGACTCAGCGGTTTCAGCGGGAAACTAGTCGTCGTTGCTGGGATGCAATTCACGGCCACGCCGTAAGGAGGCATGGACTGGTTGAGGTATATCAAACAGTTGACGGCGATCACGAGGCAGCCTCCGATCGGTCGAGCTATGGGCACTGCTTGGGAACAGTCGAAAGGTAGTCCAGCCACTGACCAGATGACGGGATGAGACCCGTCGGCGGTATTCAAGCTCATGGCTATCATCGAACAGGTGTCCGGACGCAACATTACTCGGCCACTGAATGTGCGCAGAGGCTCAAATAAAACCAGCAACGTGGGTTCGTAATACCTGAAAACAGAAAAACATTGTTACATATATACAATATACTGTGCTGTAAAACAATGAACTATACACTGTATATACTTTAATGGTGGTTCCATCAACAGGGTTCCATTCCTTTCCAATATATTTAGAGGAAGTAAAATACAAAACTCACCCATGCAGAAACTTGGCATCAATCACAGCATCAATTTTTGGATCGATCGACTTCAAGTCAATCACATAACTCGTCATCACCGGCGACGGAATCTCCTCATTTGCTTGACCGTCACCTGGCCATCACAACGTTGAAATTCCATGGAAGAAATAAATACATCAGTAATTGAATCAAGACTCGTGGAGACCGATTATTACGTAAAACAAAAACAGACTAGACTAACTCAGTTTAAATTTCAAAATTCGATCAATAGTATGCCATCAGCTTTTCCTTCCAACAATTAACTCTTGGAAGCATTTTACAGCTTCGGGTGTCAAAGTATTCGTTTAGACTTCATCACAAAACACAATACGATCAACCTCACGTAAAAATCAAAATAAACTCTCAACAGTATTGTTTATGTCAACCTTCAGGTCCAGAAGTTCCCGTTCCTCCACCTCCAACTGCTTCTCTTCTAAACGGGATAATTGCTATTTTGGATCCGAAAAATGATATGGCAGCCGCTCTACCTTCCGGATCGATTGACACTGTAGGCACAAAATAATTATCCGTCCATCCACCGGCAGCAGCTTCTTCTTCAAAGTAATGTAAGGATATCGTTTTCAAACTGTGTGAATACGGATCGTACTCGACCACCGATACCTGAAACAAAGAAATATTTAATTGAAGAACGCGTGTCTTGATTGAAAAGAGGCAAACTCGGTGCGTAATTAAATACTATACCAGATGTTTTTTAGATTCGGTAAAATATATTTTCAATGGAACCTAGCGGCGGGGATCTGAGCAATAATTGTGTGTACTGTATTGACTTGTGTGTCCAAACGATATTTTTCCGACACAGTACATCTTTGCAAAAATAATAAAAACTGTACACCGTACTTGGGATGATTATTTGTTTGCCAGACAATGTTTCGGACATAACTTGAATTATTATCCATTCATGGTATTTTTTCAAGTACTGTAATATCCCACGCCCTCAAATCCAGCAACCAAATTGTCACTATTTTTTCTTCACTTATATGCCTTCATTGTCATCACGTTTATTAGGCTGCTAATCTCCAGTCTTGATAAAATTTGAACATCCGTTTTTACATCGTTGTAAGCAATAAAAAAGTATTAATTCGACTTTAGTACTTCGGTGACGATCAAAAACAAAGATTGAAATTTGCAGCAACGTAGTTTTAAGCGAATTCCAAAGGTTTCTTTGTGAAAGTACTTTCCGTCGTCATTTGAAAAATTGAACCAACAAAAACATGCCAAAAAATTCGGTGGCATGCCTGTTCCTTTCCGGACTCTCGTCACAGGAGACATTTGAAACCAACAAACTTACCTTAGCATCCCGGAAACACAGAACTAGTGCATCTCGAATGGATCCTGCGAGTCGCACAGCTTTCATATCAGCTATTGTGCCGTGAACAGAAAAAGCAGCGGCACATTCCAGTTTTGCCTTTGGCAAAGAATAAAGTGCCTCTACTTCTGCATCATCTGAATAACCCTCGTGTGGGTTACCAACAGCAACAAGCCGATAGACTCGAACGTAATTCACTCCTCCTACAACGAGGTTTTTCTCAGGCGCGGATGCTGAGAAAAAATAACACGAAAGCGCATGTTCGATTCCTGTGGCCGGGTGAACATCCCGGCACATAGCGAACATTGTGGACACTCGCGAAACAAACAAGCAGCCTGCGTCTGTGGAAACATGAATGATTCTCGATTAAGGAACAGAACAATTTGAAAATAATTACATGAAGATTTCCTCGTGCAGTTTAAAACCAGTTCATACAAAATTCGAAGCTTCGCTTCTAATCATCAAAACAATCGTTTGAGAGTCGAACACGGCTTTTTAAAAAAAAGCAGAAAACATTCAAAATCCCGAAGATCCACAAGAACTTGGAAGAATCAGGATTCGTTCGATTCTTTCTGCGGAACGTTTTTCAAATCGGATGACAGGAAAGCCAAATGACCCTTGGGACATTTATTGGCATAATGTCCTTTGCCTCCACACTGAAAATAACAAATAGATAAAAATCATTATAATGCATCAGGATAGATCAGTCGACTACAGCACCCAAGGGGTTCAAAAAATGCAGGAAAATCTCGTAAAATTATGATATACCAACACGGATCACCAAACATCGAAATTGTGCGATCAAAAAATTTAGGGCTATTTTTACTGAAGGTTTCGCTCGTTTTTAATGGAGAATCGCAAAATGCGTGAATTAGCAGTGAAATTTCAGATTTAGCTTTAATACTTCAGTAGTTTCCAATGTTTTCTCAAGTTGAGTTAAGATAAACCTGTTGAGGCTTAAAAAATAATGAACATATTTCTACAAGCGATGAATTTAGGCATTCAATTGAAAGCTCGTCGTTATACTGGCTCATTGCGTGAATCGTAAAGTAGTAAAAATTTCAAGTTTCTCATAGATCAAGCTTATAAATTAGTTACATCAAGGAGTAAGACCGATTTTACAAATATTTCGAAAACTTACCTTGAAGCAAATGACCTCCTCCAAGGGTCTGCTGGACGGTCCATCACCACCTCCACGCCTGAAATGTCTACCGAAACCGGATTCGTGCATGTTCATGAGTCCGCTGGTTGCGGCCCAAACAGGCATATGTCCATTGACAGCGTAACTCTTCAGCAACGCTTCCTTATCTTCTGTACTCAACTTCGGGCACTGCATTATCTTGTGACCAGGTTCGTGACAATTATGACACAGGAAGGTCCCTTTCTTCGGTTTCGTTTGGTTGAATTCTTCGGCGGACGGTAAGTCGAAGGTAGGGCTGCAAAAAAGGGAAGAAAAAAATTTAATGATAAATTGATATTGTAATTTTAAATTACATTTTGTGTGATAGCTCATCACTAGAATAGATACAGTATTATACAAGATATGGATTCCAAATCACTATCATGGTATTTTAAGACCAAATATCGAAATTCCCATGTCATGAATAATTCTGCAAACTTACTGAACATGTTTACAATTGGCGCCGTCAGGACAAAATCCCGCTAGGTAATTCGTGCACATCACGCGTCTTGTGTGGCGATGGCGGCATATTGGTCCATGTCGGCAAAATCCTCTGTCATACCAAGGACAGTCTCGTATCTTAGTCTCCGGATCAATATGCAAAAATGGACACTCTTTGTTGTGGCAAGCATCTGAAAAATACAAGAAAATATAAAATTTTTGTCAAGCGATACTTGAAAATGTCAGTGGATGAAGAAATTACTCACTAAACCGCGAATAAAAATAGCACTCGGGCATTTTCGTCATATCGAACTCGTGCAGAAATTCACAGTCATCCCCCTTCTTGCATAAACCACGAAGCCAATGCTTGCACACAACGGTCTTTTCGCCAATGATATGGCGATATGGACAAACAGCCCCAAACGAACATTTCCGCTGAAAGAACTTCAGACAGATCGGAGATACCGTTTCTGCAAATTATAGGATGACGTTAGGGTTGTGCGGTAGCCCAGAAATAACGCAGAAGATATACTTACTATCCATTCCCGGAAATGCCAAGGCTTGAATTCCCACTTGAACTTCGATTTGCGTTTCGACATCGAATTTAATGCCGTCGACCGAAGCGACAATCGCCTCCATCTTCAACTCTCTTCGTATCAGGGCACCAGAAAAGATACCTGAATTCAATAAACGCCAGGAACTCAATTCACACAAAATGCTGTATCTACAATATAAACGTTTTCATCAGCACTAGCACGGCAAATAATTTGAGAATTCCTAGCTAGCAATCAGTAAGGGACTGTAAATTTCCTTTTTAAAAATGCTGCCCTCAAAGAGAGAAAATCAAAGATGAACTTCTTTCTAATTCATGCCACGTTAGTGCAAACTCACTGCTACAGTTTTCAGAATCACACACTAATTCCACACCTCCAACGACAAAACCGACCGAAAACTCGAAGCTTTCACAACCCATCTTCACGAAACGGTAGCCTGCCTGCCGCACCGGCATTAGAAAACTAAACGTGAATTCCAGAAAACAAGGATGGTTGAACTGCTCACTTTAGTGAAGTATTTTACCTAGATGTCGCTGTACAATGAACCAAGGAATATATCTTCGAAACTCTTTCTTCGAAAAGCAGCTCACTGAAGTAGGAGGAAATTGAATATGCTTCTTTGATGATTTCCACGAGGGCTTTCATTTTCTCCAATCCAAAAAAGCACAGGATCATTATACAGTACAGTACTGTGATAATAATACAGTACACGTATACTGTATATACAATAGTGTACCTGCTGTATAAAAATATTGTATTATGAAGTTACAATCAGCAGCAGCATATACCATGAGATCCGCGAATATGTGGACACCCGCAGGAATACCTGAAAACCAAAAAAAAATCAGGCCTGGAATTCGGACATTGGCTTGAGTTAAGGACACCTTTCTGAAATTTTCTCAAAAAATGATGAAAAATCTTTTTTTTTTCATTTTGGTATCTTTTGAAGAAATCAAGCTACAGTACTTATATTCACATAAATGTTTAAAATATTTCATGATAAATTCACTCTAATTCATAATCAATTAAAGCAAGCTGATTTTTGCTTCTTTTTTCAGAGTTTTTTTTAATCATCTGTGCATGTTCTATAGCAAGAATTATTCTTTTATTCTGTTTATTTGCTTTTTAATCTCCTTTTGATACCAAGAGATCAGATTATATGTGTGGTTTAGTTCTGCACTGCTGTTTTTTACTACTTGAAGTTGAGGGAAATAATTTTTAATTAATTTTGTTGAGGACTTATTACTAATTTTTGACTAAAGGAGAACCAATCACTGTAGCAACATCATGCGACACCTATAAATGAAGATGTGTGTAAAAGCCTGCAGTACAACTGCTTCAACTTTCTTGCACTGTAAGTGATGGGCGTCTAGAATGGCCCCGGAGGCAATAGCAAGGTGTAGAAGCGAGAAACTCGCCTAGATTTTTGTTGAGTAAGGGATCCCTATCAGGAGGGAATCTTCGCTGTAGAAATGAGGCGAAAACGGTATTAAGTGTAGGCAGAATGAGCAGGTGGGTGTAGACAAGGCCTTCTTCTATTCCTAGTCCTAGCCTCCTCTCCGCTGCTCTGGCCTCTGGACTAGACTTCACTTCGCTTAGAATCATTGACTTGACTACATGTCCTGTTTTATATTGACTGACACGAACACTAACACCAACGACAGTAAAAGCCTTTCTTCGAGATCCTCAACAACTTGCCTTTAATATTGCTGAGGCCTTGAACCACTGCGATCGGCTCCTGAACACAAAGTTATGGAATGACGGGGCTCGTCCGGTCGTGATTTCTTGATCGAGCCAGCGCACCGGTGATGATGACACGCACCACGGAAAACTCTAAGGCCGCGGCACTCCCATATGTGCCCCCTGTTCCAGTAAACGACCCAGCAGCTGCTTCCGCAGAACCGCCGGCTGCAGGGACTTCCACAGGACAGGTTGGACCGGCCACTACACCGTCGATATCGCGGAGCGCTCCATCGGCAGCATCCACGTCCTCATCGTGTAGCCAGTGGACTTCTATCCCGCTTCCGACGCTCCAATATCTAGTCGAGGCTTACCGCCTCGGCAAGCCATCGGGCACCACTCGGACAGAGTATGTGACGCTGCTGGAGAACAACATGATCCCGCCATCATTGGCTCAGGGATGGATACCTCCTCCGGGGTGGCATCTGCGCCCGTTAGATCTGCAGATCGCACCCTGGTCGCCCCCGACGAATCAAGAGATCGTCATGGCGAGCGCAGCTCCAACTCTCCCCGCTCAGACGACATCGCTTTACCGCGCTCCAGGCGAACCTCAGCTCTCGGATATGCCGAAGCAGCGCGAGAACGAAACCTTCGAAGACTACGCAGACCATCTCCGCCGACTTCCCGCCATCAATAATGTCTCCTCGGACACCAAAGTATGGTGCCTGCTAAACAAAACGCAGCCACTCGTTCGGGAGACCGCATCCATCCTCTACGGACGCGGGATCGTCACCTTCGACGAACTCGTTGCAGCAATCGAGGTATCGCATCCAACGCCGCATTTGGACCGGCTCGACAGATTCCGACAGCTCCGCCCGCACAACGGCGAGAGCTTCATCAACTTCGGAGCAAGGTTAGAAAACCACTTTAACTCGTTTCTCGCCCCACCCGGCCAACCAGTCACCCTGGAAGAGCTCAGGCACAAAATGCTGATCGACCAGCTGATAGCAGCGGTGCCGACCGGTCTGCAGGACGAGCTCCGACGAAAGTGGATCGACAACCGGTACTGGACGTGGGACGAAGCCATCAACGAAGCAGAACGGTTCCGGTTACACCACCACGCCACATCACGCGGATCAACGGGACCCCGGCACGCTTCAAAGGCTTCAACCGGTTCCAGACCACAGCGACAATGGTGCGAAGGGCATCACGCGTACGTAAGACACTCTCCACAAGATTGCAGGATATTGATGAGGCAGCAGGGGCGCGCTCCGCCGCCTGAGACTGAATATCAACCCACAAGCAATCAGCAACGTCACGCCACGCAGCCTCCGCCACCATTCAACGCAAGCCAACCACCCCCCAATACCCCCTTGTGTTATCATTGTCATGCCCCTGGACATGTGGGTCGTAATTGCCCTTTGTTGTTACAGGGAAACTCCCGCCCGTCACAGTGAACGCGGCCAACTGTGAAGCATTGGATCTCGCCGCGCCTCCTCCGATCATCCTTCCGCTGCAGATAGGAGACGCCTTCTTTCCAGCTCTCGTCGACACCGGCGCGTCGCATGCCTTCATCTCTCAGCAGTTAGTAGCATCCCTACGTCTAACCCCCCGCCCGTGTTCAATTCGCGTGATGACCGCGCTAACCTCTAGTACAGCAACGGTTACCCACCAGGTCAACCTTAGCTTCGTATTTCGCGGGCTCCAGTATGTTATACCATTTTTAATATTGCCGCATCTGTCCGACCCACCCCTGCTGCTTGGACGGACCGCGCTAAAACATTTCCCCCTCGCGCTCACCATTGACGGCGATCGCGCGTTTGTCGGATTTCAGCGCAGCATTCAGAACCCCGCGACTCCTTCGCTCCCGATAGGTGATGGTATTTCTTTTGTCGATGGCACACCGTCGGAACGCGCAGAAATAATCCGCCTCCTCCGTTCTCAAGCAGATCTTTTTCATCAGTGGTCGGGCCGCCGAGGGTTTCTCCCAGAGCACACCGTGCTACTGGAAACCTCCGGCGACCAGATTCCTAACACCAGATCATTCCGGCAGTCGGCAGAAATGAACGTCCTGTTTTCAAAGCTAGTCGACGAATACATCGAGGCCGGGATAATAGAACCCGCCTCATCCCCATATAATTCTCTGGCCTTCTTAACTCGAAAAAAGACATCCGATCCAGATGCTCCTCCACACAAGCACTGGCGCATGGTCGAGAATTATCAGGGGATTAACGACATTCTAGCTGACGACAGGTACCCGATGCCGGCCATCCAGGACTTACTGGATGCCCTCGGTCGGAACAACGCTTATTTTTGCACTTTAGATTTACACGCCGCGTTTCATCACCTCCCGATCGCGTTTAAAGACCGACCGAAAACGGCGTTCTGGACTCCGCGTGGTCAAATGCAGTACCGAGTCATGCCTTTTGGCCTCAAAAACGGCCCGGCGGCATTTCAACGGGCAGTGAACCACATTTTGCGGGATCATTTATTCGTGCGGTGTCTTGCTTATATGGACGACATAATCGTCTTCGGGGAAACATTTTCTCAAGTTTCAGCCAACTTGGAACTCGTGCTAAAGGCATTGGACAGTGCCGGAGCGGCCGTCGACCTTGCTAAGTCAACCTTTCTCGCCAAGAAGATCGTCTTCCTGGGCCACGAGATCGACCAGACGGGGACGAGACCGCTCGACAAGGACCTCAATGCCGTGCGCCGATTTCCAAGGCCCGAAACCACAAGACAGATGCAACGGTTTCTGGGCATGGCCACGTATCTCCGGGCCCACCTCCCGACAAACTTTGCCGCCTCCGAAAAAACCCTTCGCCAAACCATACCACCCAAGCCCGCCAATCGACTGATCTGGACCCCAGAAGCCCAGTCCGCCTTCGACCACCTGAAAGGTGTACTAGCGGACTCGGCCAGACTGGAAAGGATGGATCCGCTACGGGCAACAGAGGTGCATTGCGACGCGTCCATCACTTCCTTGGGCGCGATCTTGGTGCAGATCGACGAAGCAGGCCTACCCAGGGTAGTGGAATACGCCAGCCGAACTCTCAGCGACACAGAATCTCGCTATTCCAACTCGGAAAGGGAGCTGTTAGCCATCGTCTGGGCAGTAACCAAGAAGTTTTGCCACTATCTGGAGCTGCGCGACTTCACAGTCTTCACAGACCACAAGGCGCTGCTAGGTGAGCTAAAAACTACCCGACTGATATACCTCAAAACCAAGCTGGCCCCGTTCCGGGCCACCCTGGTTTATAAACCCAGCAAGTTCCTCAAGGGCCCCGACGCTCTCAGCCGAGTGACCCTGAACGCAGCCGAGGTAAGGGACGTACCCAGCGAAGACGAACGAATCAGCATCATTGATAGCTATCACAAGGAGCTGGGACATGCCGGGTGGAAGAAGATCTACCAAACATTGAAGGATAGGTACAAATGGCCCGCAATGAGACAGGAGGTATGGAAAAGAATTCATTGCTGCAGTACCTGTTTCAAATACAACATCCGAACCACAAAAATTGGGGTACACTTGGAGCCCATCATCTCCTCTTACGCCAGAGAGCGACTCACAATGGATTTTTACGGCCCACTGCCACTGTCCACCAGCGGCAACCGTTACGCCATCGTGGCGGTCGACCATTACAGTAAGTATATGGTCACGCAACCAATTCAAAAAGCGGACGCTACGACGGTGATACCATTCCTAGCTGAACTCTTCCGCCAATTCGGGACATTTGATATCATTCACACCGATTGCGACTCAGTGTTCAGGTCC